ATGGAAGGATAGCACCAGGAGACTGCAGACACTATAACCACTTCAATGAGATGAAACCATTACAATGCCTACGGTCCCATCAGAGACGTTCTTCCATACTCTCCTTTTCCTCTCACTCTGACACCTACCCACTCATGCACAGAAAGCTAACCACATACCCTCCCACTCCACAAACACACTCCAACAGCTATTACATAGGTGCAATCAGTCCCGTATTTGCGGGACAGTCCCAAATTTAGGTGAACTTCTGTAACTGCAAAACTAGGTCCCGGGGATCTGTCCTGCATTTTTAAAGGCTCTTGATTTAGTCATGGATTATTTATCTATCAATCGTTTTGTGTCCACCAGTCCATCCATCTGTCCCTGTCCATCCATTCCTCCATCCTCTCTCTTTTTATCTGGATAACTGCTGTTCAGTTTATTACAATATTACTTACAGTTGTAACTATTAATAATCACCCCCCATTGAAAACCAGGTTTATTGTCAAAATTTACAGACTTGCATTTTCAGTTGAATTTGAGAAAACTACATGAAGCATCCGATGTGTTGAGCTATTTCAGTTGCATTTGTTTGGTTTGTTCATTGCAAATAGCTTAAAGTCTGTAAATGTTGACAATTAACCTGATTTTCAAAGGGGGTTGAATAATTTTGATTACGACTGTATACAATTTTACTAACTATTGTTATATTAATACATGCTTACTGTTTTCACTGACATTCCCATCTACTTACATTCTCATCAGCTCCTTTGGCTTTCAATATCATTTCTATACAGATGACACTCAAATCTACTTGTCCTCTCCTGATCTCTCTCCGCCCATTTTGACTCGTGTCTCTGACAGCCTCTCCGCAATTTCCAAATGGATGGCTGCTCACTTTCTTAAACTCAACCTGTCCAAAAGAGAACTTCTGGTCTTTCCTCCCTCAAGTGTTGCTACTCCTGTGTCTGTCTCCCTCCATGTCAACGGCACCACCATCACCTTTACTTCACAGGCTCGCTGCCTGGGAGTTCTCTTTGACTCTGACCTTTCCTTCCCCCCTCATGTCCAGTCGATAACCAAATTCTGCCACTTCCATCTCAAAAACATAGCGCGCATCCAACCCTATTTAACGCCGGATGTGGCTAAGGTGCTGGTCCTTGCTGTTGTTCTTTCTCACCTTGACTACTGCAATCCCTTCTCAGTGGTCTTACGTGTTCCCAGATTGCACCACTGCAATCTATTATGAACGTGGCAGCAAGGCTCATTTTCCTGTCCGCCTGCACCTCCCACGCCTCCCTCCTCTGTCAGTCCCTACATTGGTTTCCAGTTAGATATAGGGCTCAATTTAAGATTCTGGTGTTTGCTTACAAGTCCCTACATAATGCTGCTCCAACCTACCTATTCTCCCTTATACACAAATATGTCCCGTAGACGCCCCTGCTCTCTCCCGAAGACCTACGTCTATCCTCTGTCCATACTCCCACATCTGATGCTCGCCTCCAAGACTTCTCCAGGGCTGCACCTTTTCTGTGGAACTCCCTTCCCTTCTCTGTTAGACTTTCACCCAGTCTCCCCTCCTTCAAAAAATCTTTGAAAACACACTTCTTCAGGAAAGCATATCATTTAAACTGTTATCGGGTTTTCATTCCCCCCTCCCCATGACTCCTCTCCTGCAACTGTCCAACATAACCTACTAAGTTCCCAGTGAATACTTTTCTAGCAACCTATTTTATTACCCCTACTTATATCCTTCATGTCACTATACCCCACTCCCTCTAGCATGTAAGCTCATTGAGCAGCTCCCTCAACCCCTCTGTTCCTGTGGGTCCAACTTGTCTGGTTACAATTATGTGTCTGCTAGTCCACCCATTGTACAGCTCTACAGAATTTCGCTGGCGCTATATAAATAATAAAATAATAATAATAAAAAATAATAATAATACATTGTAAACTCTCTACTGCACCGTGGATTTGGGAATTAATGGTATGATACACATGTTTAGATGTATCCGTGTTAATTACATTATGATTTACGTGTTGACAGATCTCTCAGGTCTCATAGAATGATTGTGATGACCTTGATGAACTAGTCAAGTACAGCTCATAAACAGATGGTGGTAGAGCTCTGTAATTCATTCTTAACAGCTGAATGGAAAGGTTTTCCCAGGCGTCCATACCAACTGTGGTCATTGACATTTTAGAGAAGTTGTCACTAATAATACTACTTCAGACAAACTTGTTTACTGTCACCATTTGCACCATTTGAGTTCTTTATCGCCCTTAGTATAATTTTTTAATTCACCTAAATTTTTAGTATTCAAAAAATAATTTTGTTAGAGGGGATTCTAGAATGTAAAGGTTGGTAAACCAAGATTTAAAATGACTTATAATGTGTTTTAGATAATGAATAAGCCATTTGATACTTCTCTGAAAACAAAACTATACAATATATCTTCAAATATGTGAAGTGAGAACAAGGTTTTATAGGGCTGGGGGGAATAGCTGATTTGGGACCAGAGTTTATGTAACTCTTTCAAGGTTATTCCATAAAGTGCAAATGTGTGCAGTTCAAACTACTTTCAAACTGAATTTCAAATCATTGGCCAGAATAGACGAACTAGAAGAAGTTAGCTAGGTTTTCAGATTGGCTATTTTTATGTAAGATTTGAAATCAAATTTGAATTCATTTTGAATTCCAAACAGTACACACTGGTGGAGGAACCTATATAGAGAGGGACAGGGTCCAAGCTCCTCCAAGTGTCTCATTCTCTCCACCAGCCCCTCCATGTGTCTCATTCCCCCTTCAGCGCCTAAAGGTATCTCATCCCCCTGACCCCTCCATGTGTCTTATTTCCCCTCCAGCACCTCACGGTATCTCATCCCCTCAGCCTCTCAAAGTGTCTCATTCTTCCCCCCAGCCCTCAAGGTGTCTCCACCCCTCAGCCCCTCCATGTGTCTCATTCCCCCTCCAGCGCCTCAAGGTATCTCATCCCCCTGACCCCTCCATGTGTCTTATTTCCCCTCCAGCACCTCACGGTATCCCATCCCCTCAGCCTCTCAAAGTGTCTCATTCTTCCCCCCAGCCCTCAAGGTGTCTCCACCCCTCAGTCCCTCAAAGTGTCTCCACCCCTTAGCCCCTCAAGGTGTCTCATCCCCACCAGCCCCTCAAGGTGTCTCATCCCCACCAGCCCCTCAAGATGTATCATGCCCCATCCCCAAGTTGTTTCATTTCCCTCAGCCCCTCCATATGTCTTTTAGTCTAGATATAGAATGGATACGGAAAAACTAATTGGGCAGCTTTTATTTTATTTTTATTTTTTCCATATGATCCTTTTTTATGTTCTGCTTTCTTTATCTACTTGATTTTAGCGAGGAGGCAGTGCTCGGAAAAAAATAAAATTCTTAGTTGCACTATAATGTTAATACTTTTTTTTTCTAATATACTGGCAAAGGTGCTGTTATCTTTAAATGTATACACCTAGACTTTAAACAAAAAAATCATGATAAACTAGATTAATTATACAGAACAAAATATCATATTTTACTAAATTTGGAAACTTTTTTTTTTTACAGATAAGTTTGTTGCAATCATCGTTGGTTTGATGATGTTATTATATATATATATAAAAATATTATAAAAATATAATTATAAAAAGATTATAAGTATTATTATATATTATTATTATTATTATATTTGTGTGTGTTTATATATATATATATATAAACACACACAAATATAATAATAATAATATATAATACTTATAATTTTTTTATAATTATATTTTTTATTATGATTTTACATATATTAAACATGTATATTTAACAACATTTTTCAAGTTACTTAATACCAATGTAGCAAATTAAATTATTCATTAATTAATATAATGCTTATTATTAAAGTATATAATATATAATTATAATATAATATATAATATATATAATATTATATAATATATATAATTATAATATAATATAATATATAAAGTAATAATAATTATTATTAAATAATTATTGAATATGTTTACAATATACCAGCTGGTCAGCAAAGATGGCAAAAAAATAAAAATGAACAATACTAACATAATACAACTATAAAAATATAACAATTATCTATGAACATTCAAATCATGCTCACCAATTGCTAAAGCACAAATAATACATTACTAAAATATATAAAGTAAATATAAGAGTTGCAAATAATTTTGCCTGTATAGTGCAAATAGCACAGGAGAATAATAGTAATAATAATAATAATAATAATAATAATAATTTACTGTGGTACGACTATGCTACGCCTTTGTCCCTTTGCTACGCCTTTGTCCCTTATAGGTTCATTAATTTCTTTTTTTCCTTCTATTTATACAAAAAAAAATCTGAAGATTACATAAAAAAAATAAAAATAATTATGCTTTCTATAATTTCTTAGTTCCCTACCCCAAAAAAGAAAATTATATCTGTTTTGCTCTATTTATATAACCTATAAGAAAATCACTGATGCCTTTGTCCAAAGATCTTCCAAATGTTTCATTTTTGGTTTATTTTATTACTATTGCTATGTAGTGTTGTAGGTGCAGTTAAGATTTCTGATAGTTGGCAATTATATTTAATCATAACAAATTGTTTTTTTTTATGAACGGCCACTTATCCTGTGTTCATTAAACATAGTATAGTTTTCCTTTCACAGTACTGTTCTTTGATTTAGAATTTAATGATCGTTTGTCAGAGTGAAAGACAATCTTAGTCCATGGTATTGATTGCAAATTGGAGTAACATACTTTATCCTGGTTATTTTCAGTCTCCAACTAAATTGTGTGAGTTATTTTTACATCTGATGACCACACAACTTTTACACAATTAGGACAATGTGCACACCCATTCCTTAACTGGACACGGCTGACAGTTGGTCCCCTATATAAGCTTGACTGAGCTCCCAGTTGGTTAGGTCTGACTTGTTGGTAAGTATGCACTGTGTGTTGCATGAGGGGAAGAATTTGTCATTTCTTTAAGATTCATTTAACAGGCAACGTCAAAAGGATACATATTAGCTTATACATTTGTTTAATGACATTTAATTAAGTGGTATGAAGTTCTGATTTGTTGAACGATCTAGCAATTTATATCTAAACTTTGCATAAAACATATTGTAATTAAATTATGTATCACCGAAATTGTCTGCAAAGCTTGATATATTGAGTAAAGAAAGATAATTAAATAAATAAATAACAAACGAAGAAGTCAAAGCTAGATTGTAGTTGTTGTGGGGCCTTTAGTGTTGTGTTGAGAGGATGACTTTTAAGTTATCATAGTTAAATACCTTATAAGGGAGAAATTGAACATGATGAGATTGAAATATAGAGTGAAAATTATTCTGAGTTGTACAAGCATGGGAAGGCTTGATAAATATCCTTAATACTAGTAATGGGGAACTGGAGAGCTCATGGTTGTGAGAAGTGTGAAGGTCGAAGTAGGGGGTGGACTTTGTACAAATGGCAGAGATGGAAGAAAGAGGAGATTTATGGTGGCATTATAAGACAGAGCAAGGAGTTTAAATTATATTATTGATGAAATGGTGAAAAAGTGAAGGCCCTTGCAGAGTTATACATTGAGATGAGTCCTTGATAACTAGACCATCGTAAATAGAGATTTTAATTGATATTTATTGAAATGTCTTCCATGTCTTAAATTATAATCAATATTCTTTTCTTTTCTTTTTTTTATTCCAGTGAAGTGTTTTATTTGTTTTTCTGTCACGACCTGAACTAAAAAACGTAAGTATTAATACATTTCTTTGTGATAAATGGGGCTAAATTAGGACTAGAAATATGCTTTCATTTTATAAATGCCATGGACTAATAGTTACAATTGCATTATATATAGTATGAACAGAGAATGTTTATATTTAATATATTTTACTTGTAAAGTCCTTTTAATATTGTATTTCAGTTTATGCCCAATGAATTTATGTGAGTGTCATCCCCTATAATATTATTCTTAAGGACTGTATTTTGGGAATATGTGACTGCTGGACTTTATTATACTCCTTAAAATAACTAATATTCAGTAATAGGGGACAAAATAGCATCCACTTAACTTGTTTTTAAAATTCAGCATTTATTCTACAAGTACTTAATTATAGGGATATGTCAACTAATTAGCAAAAATAATGTAATTAGCATAAAAACTTAATTTTGTGGAAATTTTGACCTATTCTAACAATGCTGCTTTGTCCCCTAAGTTCTGGGACTCAGTAAACTGCATTTAACTGTTTTGTATAAGCCCCCTGAGCCCCTGGACCCACTCATTAAACGTTTATACGCGTTTATTTTTTTTCACAATTACGCTTTTAACTTGAAATATTAACATAACCAAGAAGGGTAAAATCTTAACAGGCTTAAATAGCCTATTTTGTATATTTAAAACAAAAAAATAAAAAGTAATATGTAGTCTCTGAAAATTCAATCTTCATTATTCATGGAGTGTCATTTTGAAGTTAAAATTAGGCTCCATAATTTAAAACACAATGAAAAATTTCACTCTACAGTGTTCCAAAATTTGCCCACTAGGTGGCGCTTCAATCACTGTTTAGGACTCAGGGAGATTCATATTTTCTTGTCTTATAAATCTACCTAGGGTAGTAGTACACAAGGAAATTTAGCAATATTGTCTGACACCACTTTGTTTACTTTACCAAACTTGTCCCAAACTGAATCAAACTGAAATATGAATAGCAAACATTAATGTAAAATAGCCAAGCCAATAGGGAGAATTTTCCCAAAATTTGATTATTTAGTTTCAGTGTTGCAATCTGGATTTCAATTGACTGTATTTTTAGTTTAGAATTTAGAGCCCACTCATCATCAATTCAACCAGCAGAGAAAAACTAACAGTCATGGGGAGTGAATACTCATCCACTTATTAACAACCAGCTTGCAACATTTAAATATTAACTAAACATTAACAGCTGAGTGGGAGAATTTTTAAATACAAATTTTTATTGTATTACAAAACTTGGTAGTGAACTTTTTCCGTTTTGTCAAAATCTCACTGTTTTGCTGATAAACCACTATACAAGACATGACAAGAGTAGTGTGCATAGGTCTAAATTTGACCATTGATTCCCTGAAAATCATGAAGTAGACCCTTGACCCTTCAGGATTATAATCATCTTCCTCCATAATCGTTTCTCTGTAGCAATAATGTATGTATCGGGAAATAGCCATATCCTCCACCTTAAACGCCTATATCTGTGTGAACCTTTGATTTAAGGCTTATTTCTCCTTCGAATAATGCTGTTTTCACCAGTGTTTGTAATTAGAGTGCTTCAATACTAAATACATTTTTCAACTTTGTAAGTGTGGAAATCAATACTGCTGATGAGGGTAAAAATTTGAGTTTAATTTACTGAGATACATAAAAATAATAATAGTAAGTTTATTTAAATATTAATGATGCATGTAATAAAGTGCATGTAATAAATATTTTTTTTGTATTTTGCAGTCACCAGCAACCATGGGTGACGGGGAGATGGCCTGTTTCGGAGAGGCTGCACAGTTTCTCCGTAAATCTGACAAAGAACGATTGGAAGCTCAGAACAAGCCATTCGATGCCAAGAATACCTGCTTCGTAGATGAGCAGAAAGAGCTGTATGTGAAAGGTATAGTCACAGCTCGTGAAAGTGGCAAAATCACCGTGAAAACTGATGATGGAAGGGTAAATATAAAATTCTAATACTTATCATACCACCTGCTAATTACTTTGAATTGTGAGCTAAACTGAAATATGTCTCTTTTTTTTCTAGACTCTAACTGTAAAAGACGGGCAAGTTTACCCCCAAAATCCCCCCAAGTATGACAAAATTGAAGACATGGCCATGATGACCCATCTGAATGAAGCTTCTGTATTGTATAACCTCAAAGAACGTTATGCAGCATGGATGATCTACGTACGTTTGGACTCTTTCTCCATAGTTTAGAAGTGTTTGACAGTATCGATCATGGGTAGAAATACCAGACAAACAGTTTGAGTAGATAGTGTGCACCCCCTACATAATCAATGGAAGAGAAATAACGAAACAAGAGTGACATAGATATATCACAACGATACAACTTTACATCATCATCAAACACTTAAATAAACAAAATTCTAATTTATATGCCATTTGTTGTGTATAGTAAAATCCATCTCTGGAGTTAGAAATAGGCTTCCTAAACCTACTCAGTTCCACTTAGAACATATCAAAATAATTAATCAGCTTTAGAGTCAAATATTTACTGATGCTTTTGTGAAAATATGCCTAATCCTTAGTAGTCCTCTTGAAATATACATTGATGCTATTTGTTTTGTTGTCCATTTAGACCTACTCTGGCCTTTTCTGCGTCACTGTGAACCCCTACAAGTGGCTCCCAGTGTACAACCCTGAGGTGGTTGCTGGTTACAGAGGGAAGAAACGTATGGAAGCCCCACCTCACATCTTCTCCATCTCTGATAACGCTTATCAGTTCATGTTGACAGGTACTTGGCTTTTTCTCTTTGTAACAGACTTATTTTCTCAACACATAATACTATGAATTTTATTATTAATCCCCATCTCTTGTTTGCAGATCGTGAAAATCAGTCTGTCCTGATTACGTAAGTATTTATTGTCATTGTATCTTTCGAGTTATAGTTATTTCTTCAGCTTTTCTAGACGTACTATATTTTAACCTTCTTTATCCACAGTGGAGAATCTGGTGCTGGAAAGACTGTGAACACGAAACGTGTCATCCAGTATTTTGCAACAATTGCCGCTATTGGAGATCAAGGCAAGAAAAAGGGCCCAGCTAACAGCTTGAAGGTAACACGGCTATTGGGATTACTAGTGCATAGTTAAAGGATCAAAGCATATCTCATGTGATGTACATTCTTTTCTATCCATTGGTATAACGCTACTGAGAAGTCACTTGCTTGTTAGACTTGTATTCATATATTGGTAATTAGGTTGAAAATATATACAAAAACCCTTCACATATCCAATAACAAATAATCTGCCAATCCAGAACAAGAGAAAGCACACTTTTCACTATAGTTTTTATTACATCTATGCATAATGCTTGGTTTCTATTTCATGTGAAGAATAAGAGATCAATGTCCAAATGCAAATTTCATCAACTGAACAAATTTTACTCACGTTTGACAGGGCAATCTAGAAGATCAAATCATTGAGGCTAACCCTCTGCTGGAAGCTTTCGGTAATGCCAAGACTGTGAGAAATGACAACTCTTCTCGTTTTGTAAGTTTTTGTTAGGCAATAGCCATTTTCATGTTACATCTACATGTATCCCCATTTGTTACCAAGTTTACTAAACTCTCACTATGGTGTTTAGGGTAAATTCATCAGGATCCACTTCGGCACCACCGGAAAACTGTCTTCAGCTGATATTGAAACATGTAAGGAATATATTGCAAATTAATTTATCTTTAACTATTTATAAATGTGATATATTTCTTATATTGGCTTTTATTTGAACAGATCTACTGGAGAAATCTAGAGTCACCTTCCAGCTGTCTGCTGAAAGAAGCTACCATATCTTCTATCAGATCATGACAAACAAGAAACCAGAAATTGTTGGTAATTAAACAACTTTTTTTATTACTCCAACGGACACAGAGCACAGAATTTGGTTCCATATTTATAGTGACAGAATATAACACACATGGAAATATATATAGCAGACATTTAAAACTATTAATTCCATGTTAAAGATATTGCATGTATAATGTTTAATTTTTTTTAACAAATTTTTACTAATATGCTACATGTCTTTTTCTCTAGAAACACTTCTGGTCACAACCAACCCTTACGACTATCCATCCATCAGCCAGGGAGAGATTGCTGTGAAGAGTATTGATGATGAAGAGGAATTGATGGCCACTGATGTAAGTTCTTAAATTGTAGAGAAGAGCAGCAAAATTCTAACGGTGTTCTAAATGTTGGTTTCAATCTCAAACTGCCTTTCTCATCCTACAGACGGCCATTGATGTCCTGGGTTTCACCGCAGAAGAAAAGATTGGCATCTACAAACTTACAGGAGCTGTCATGCACCATAGCAACATGAAGTTCAAGCAAAAACAGAGAGAGGAGCAGGCCGAGCCTGATGGCACTGAAGGTTTGTCTTCAGTGTTCAGTGAAAGAATTTCAGTAGTCAGTACAACTGATACTGATATAAATTAGAAACCTAATGTCTGCTTAACATGGATAAAACTGATGTCAAATATATGCATACAATTATTTGTATTGTCAACTTGCAGTTGCTGATAAAATCGCATATTTGATGGGTTTGAACTCTGCTGATCTGCTGAAAGCTCTGTGCTACCCAAGAGTAAAGGTCGGCAATGAATATGTCACCAAAGGACAGACTGTCCCACAGGTAATTATGTCTCCAGTGTTCAGTTATTATTGTTAAGGTGTCTGTAGTTATGTGCAGAGGCTTATGCTATATCTGTTCCCTTCAGGTTAACAACTCAGTTGGTGCTCTGTGCAAGTCAGTGTATGAGAAGCTGTTCTTGTGGATGGTCACACGTATCAACCAACAGTTGGACACCAGACAGCCAAGACAGTTCTTTATTGGTGTGCTGGATATAGCTGGTTTTGAAATCTTTGATGTAAGCGAACATTTATTTATAACTTTGTCAAATATCTTTTTATAACTGTACCAAGAACATGTTATTCAACCCCCTTCTGTCATCTGCAGTTCAACAGCTTGGAACAACTCTGCATCAACTTCACCAATGAGAAACTGCAGCAGTTCTTCAACCACCACATGTTCGTTCTGGAACAGGAAGAATACAAGAAAGAAGGCATTGACTGGGAGTTCATTGACTTTGGTATGGATCTGGCTGCCTGCATTGAACTTATTGAGAAGGTGGGTTCCAAAGTTGAAAGCAGTCAAATTGTGCTGTGGTAACACAGGTTAAGGATGTATGAAATTCTCACTGATATCTACATTTTCAGCCCATGGGCATCTTCTCAATCCTTGAAGAGGAGTGCATGTTCCCCAAGGCCACTGACACATCCTTCAAGAACAAACTGTATGAACAGCATCTTGGCAAGTGCAAGAACTTTGAGAAGCCCAAGCCTGGCAAAGGAAAGGCTGAAGCTCACTTTTCTCTGGTCCACTATGCTGGTACTGTGGATTACAACATCAGTGGCTGGCTGGACAAGAACAAGGACCCACTGAACGACTCTGTTGTTCAGCTCTACCAGAAGTCTTCAATGAAACTGTTGTCCTTACTCTACTCCAGCTATGCTGCTGTTGATGGTGGGTATTAAAATGTTTCATGCAAAACTACTCACTGCTTCCTCATTATCGTTTATTAGTTTAACACATAGCTCCCATTACCCTTAAATAACAGATGGTGCAAAGAGTGGAAAGAAGAAGAAGGGAGGCTCCTTCCAGACTGTGTCTGCTTTGTTCAGGGTATGTACATTTTTTATTGTGTACTTTAAACAAATCTCGACATTTACGAGTTTTATTTTTTCATAACACATCTAACTTTTCTTCTAACCCAGTTTCCACAACAGAAGTCACATTGAATTCAATATTTTCCTTATCTGTTTCAGGAAAATCTGAACAAGCTGATGAGCACCTTGAGAAGCACTCACCCACATTTTGTGCGTTGTTTGATTCCTAATGAGACCAAAACTCCTGGTAAAGCTCCATTCTGAATGTATTTATATAATAAGAGAACAGTGTCTTCACTGTTGGGATGTTGTCCACCTTAAACACTGACTGATTTTTCACCCCATCAGGTACCATGGAAAACCATCTGATCATCCACCAGTTGAGATGTAACGGTGTGTTGGAGGGTATCAGAATTTGCAGAAAAGGATTCCCCAGCAGAATCCTCTATGGTGACTTCAAACAACGGTATATTAAATGAATTACTTTAACTTAAGTCATAGATTAATTGCATAAATATTTGTTTTACACATATCTCCTAAAAAAACAAAAAAACAACATTTCTACATTAAAAAAAAAAAAAAGTGTAACATTTGCCTTGCATTTACTCCACTTTCTTTTTTTTACAACTTTTATAAAGTTACAAAGTGTTGAATGCCAGCGCTATTCCAGACGGGCAGTTTATTGACAGCAAGAAGGCTTCTGAGAAACTTCTGGGCTCCATTGATGTCGATCACACTCAGTATAAATTTGGCCACACCAAAGTATGAAGAAACTGGAACATTAGGGACTAACTTATGTACATATTGACGTTTTAGAGATTATTATAATAGTTTTCTCTCCTTTGCAGGTGTTCTTCAAAGCTGGTCTTCTCGGTACCCTGGAAGAGATGAGAGATGAAAAGTTGGCACAACTTATTACTTGCACTCAAGCTATTTGCAGAGGTTTCTTGATGAGAACTGAGTTCCAGAAGATGATTGAGAGAAGGTAACGTTTATATAATATTATCAAAAAAAAGTGTTAATGAAGAGCTTTGTGTTAGAATAAAGACTCATCGTCTGTAAATCTTTTACACAGGGAAGCAATCTTCGTTATCCAGTACAATCTCAGGTCATTCATGAATGTCAAACACTGGCCTTGGATGAAACTGTATTTCAAGATCAAACCTCTCCTGAAGAGTGCTGAGACTGAGAAGGAGATGGCAAACATGAAGGAAGAGTTTGAGAAGACCAAGGAAGCTTTGAAAAAGTCAGAAGCCAAGAAGAAAGAACTGGAAGAGAAAATGGTTTCCCTGCTTCAGGAGAAGAATGATTTGCTCCTGCAAGTTCAGTCGGTAAGAAGATACAAATATAAACAGAGTATGTCTAAAACTATAAAGTCAAAATCAAATATTTTAAAAATGCAATATACTTTCAAAACAGGAAGGTGAGACTCTGGCTGATGCAGAGGAAAGATGTGAAGGCCTCATCAAGAACAAAATCCAATTGGAATCTAAAATCAAGGAGCTCACAGAGAGACTTGAAGATGAAGAGGAAAGCAATGCTGAACTTACTGCCAAAAAGAGGAAACTAGAGGATGAATGTTCTGAGCTCAAGAAAGATATTGATGATTTGGAGCTTACATTGGCCAAAGTAGAAAAGGAAAAACATGCTACAGAAAACAAGGTGTGAAGTCTGAGGAGGATACACTTTTTTGTTACCTAATGCTTAATAAGATTGCATTATGTATTTTGAATTACAATTTCTGCTTTACATTTAGGTTAAAAACCTCACCGAGGAACTTGCATCCCTTGATGAGAATGTGTCCAGAGTTAGCAAGGAGAAGAAAGCCCTTCAAGAGGCTCACCAGCAAACACTTGATGACCTGCAAGCTGAAGAGGACAAAGTCAACACTTTGTCAAAAGCCAAGACTAAGCTAGAACAGCAAGTAGATGACGTAAGTACATGTGGAAATGGTACTTCCTACATCATGTTCTAAAACAATGACTCGTGAATTCCTTGTAACCTAATACACCATAATTGATCTCTCCTTATAGCTTGAAGGATCTCTAGAACAAGAAAAGAAACTCCGTCTTGATCTGGAGAGAGCCAAGAGGAAGCTTGAAGGTGATCTGAAGCTGTCCCAGGAAACTGTCATGGATCTTGAAAATGACAAACAGCAAACTGAGGAAAAACTCAAGAAGTTCGTCTTTCTTGTTAATGTTTGTGTTTCTTTGGTTTTAAGACCTATTTGTCTATAACTGCTTGACTAAAGTTATTTTATTTTCTGTTGTTAAAACACAGAAAGGACTTTGAAATTAACCAGCTTCAATCGAAGATAGAAGATGAGCAGTCCCTGGGATCTCAGATGCAGAAGAAGATCAAGGAACTTCAGGTAAGTTTGTTTGCAAGTCAGTTTTGTAATGCTATGGGCTACATTGTTATTCCTCTACAACATTTAATTCTGGTGTTCTAGGCTCGTATTGAAGAACTTGAGGAGGAAATTGAGGCAGAACGTGCAGCCCGGGCCAGGGTTGAGAAACAGAGGGCTGATCTCTCCAGAGAACTTGAAGAGATCAGTGAGAGGCTTGAAGAGGCCGGAGGTGCTACCTCTGCTCAAATTGAGCTGAACAAGAAGCGTGAAGTCGAGTTCCAGAAACTGAGACGTGACTTGGAGGAAGCTACCCTTCAGAATGAAGCTACTTCCTCTACCCTGCGCAAGAAGCATGCTGACAGTGTTGCTGAACTTGGGGAACAAATTGATAACCTACAACGTGTTAAGCAGAAGCTGGAGAAGGAGAAGAGTGAGCTGAAAATGGAGATTGATGATCTTGCCAGCAATCTTGAAAATGTCTCCAAATCAAAGGTACATAAGTGGTTAGGTAGAACACTTCATATTTTTTACTGATCTGTAATTGTGCAAACTATAATATTACTAATTGTCCTTCTAGGCCAACCTTGAAAAAGTGAACCGTGTGCTTGAAGACCAACTCAGTGAAGTAAAGGCAAGGGATGATGAACTTCAACGTCTTCTCAACGACCTCTCTGCCCAAAGGGCTCGATTCCAAACTGAGAATGGTATGCAGAAAAATTAATAGAAGGATATAGAAAGATTTTAAAGCAAATCAAAAGGAATGAGTTAAATGAATACATAACAAGTAGTTGCAAATTGTAAACTAAATTGAGTAATTAGAGCTAAAATTGTGACACCTTTGCTATTTGTCTGAATTTTGCATTTTTGGTTCAGAGAATATATCCTACAATAGCAAAGAAAAAAAATATAACATTTTACCTTACACGGTCATGCATAACTACTTTATCTATTTTTCCTTATACAGGATATATCACAAAGGACATAAGATATACATGTTATCTAAGTATATCTCATGAAGCCTAAAACTAAAATGGAAATGCAATCTTTCAAAAAATTTTATTCTAATATTTACAAAACAAACATACATCAATTTACCTAAAAACATAAAATTGCATGGATTTCTCATTCATTCTAGGTGAGCTTACCCGTCAAGTTGAAGAGAGGGAATCTCTAATTTCACAGCTCTCAAGAGGAAAGCAAGGCTTTACACAACAAGTGGAGGAACTCAAGAGACAACTTGAGGAGGAATCAAAGGTAAACCATCTTAGAACTATTAGGGCTTCTGAATATGAGTGTTTACTAATCTTTGATTTATTTATACAGGATATTATATTAAAAGTGTCATTGAGTAATTCAAACAATATATAAAAATATCACATGTTATATTATATTAGTTTACAAACCCTCAGCATGAGTATTCTGTTTCATATATTCTTACTATATTTCTCAGGCTAAGAATGCCCTTGCTCACGCCCTCCAATCCTCCCGCCATGACAACGACTTGCTACGTGAACAATATGAGGAGGAACAAGAGGCCAAGGCTGAACTTCAGCGCTCTTTGTCCAAAGCAAATGGTGAAGTTGCACAATGGAGGACCAAATATGAAACTGATGCCATTCAGCGCACAGAAGAACTGGAAGAGGCCAAGTATGCTCCCTCTAAATAAACCCAATATAAGCAATGTGATCACGCTTTGAATAATGACCTTAAATACCACCTTCAATGTCCTTATAGGAAGAAGCTTGCTCAGCGCTTGCAGGATGCTGAGGAACAGGTAGAGGCTGTGAACTCTAAATGTGGCTCTCTGGAAAAAACAAAGCAGAGGCTACAGTCTGAGGTAGAGGACCTGATGGTGGATGTTGAGAGAGCCAACAGTGCAGCAGCTGCTCTAGACAAGAAGCAGAGGAACTTCGACAAGGTAGATATTGAAAACAAATTCCTACATTTCCTAACAACTATTTCCCCCCCAAATATTAACACATTATTATTATTATTATTATTGCTTTATTATTTATATGGCGCCATCATAATCCTCATATCGCTATTTTATATGTACTGGGACTGATTCTAACCATCAGTTATGTCTTGGTGCCCGTGTTTGTCTGGCTTGTGGCATAACTATTGCCCGTCCCTAATTGGTTTAGCATGTGTGGATTACAATCATTCTTTATTAATATAATAGGTCCTGGTAGAATGGAAGCAGAAATACGAAGAGGGTCAGGCTGAGCTGGAGGCTGCTCAGAAAGAATCCCGTGGCCTGAGCACCGATATCTTCAAGCTGAAGAATGCTTATGAGGAGTCCTTGGAACAAGTTGAGACCTTGAAACGCGAAAACAAGAACTTGCAACGTAGGTTTATCTATATTACGTTAGTTTGCAGGAGACATTGCTAACTACTGAATAATTCTTCAAATTAATCTAACCAAATGTTCTAGTATAAAAAATAGTATAGCTATACAGATGGCAACTAAATAAGCACATGTGCAACAAGTGGAACTATGGTAGGGGCCATTTCTGCAAATGACTAAACTATGTTGAGATTATATCATTTTATGTGTCAAATAGGACCTTTATGTCTCCTAAATCTCTTCCTATTGTATTTTGTCCTGCAATAGTACTTGTGTCACAACAGATCCCAACTTCACACATATTAGTACTGCTGTATTTCCGCAGAACTTACAATAAACTTAAATACCAGTCACTGTGGAGCAAAGTCTGAATAAATATTTGTCCATTACTTTTCTAGAGGAGATCTCAGATCTCACTGAACAGATCAGTGAATCTAGTAAATCCATTAACGAGCTGGAGAAGGCCAAGAAGCTAGTTGAGCAGGAAAAGAGTGACATACAGGCTGCCCTGGAGGAAGCAGAGGTATGTGCATGAAATAAATTAATAAAATATCTGCAACCAATATTGCCGTGTGAAGGGATACTATTAAACAACCAATGATACATATATATTTTTAATAGGGATCTTTGGAACATGAAGAAGCCAAGATCCTCCGTGTTCAGCTGGAATTGAACCAGATAAAATCTGAGGTGGACAGGAAAGTTGCAGAGAAGGATGAAGAGATTGAACAGCTGAAGAGGAACTCTCAGAGGGCTATCGATACCCTGCAAAGCACACTGGACTCTGAGATCAGAAGCAGGAATGATGCTCTGAGACTGAAGAAGAAGATGGAAGGAGACTTGAATGAACTTGAAATCCAGCTCAGCCACGCCAACCGCCAGGCTGCAGAGGCACAGAAACAGCTTCGCAATGTGCAGGCACAATTGAAGGTATCTCAGGAGCACCTCACACAACAATATTAATATGTATTATTTTTAGAGCTGTTGGTTCTTAAAATGACATATCTAGAATATTGTCCATAATATATAACAGCTTGAACACATATTTTGCTTTATCTCTCTTAGGATACCCAGCTTCAGCTGGATGATGCAGTCAGAGGACAAGAAGATCTGAAGGAACAGCTGGCCGTAATTGAACGTAGAACCAACCTGCTGCAGGCTGAACTTGAAGAGCACAGGTCTGCTCTGGAACAGACAGAGAGATCTCGTAAGATTGCAGAACAAGAGCTCCTGGATACAAGTGAACGCGTCCAACTTCTGCACTCACAGGTAAAGTACATAGAATGGAAACAATTTAAATGTGCATTGATAGACTGTGTCTAAATAGATGGAATATTAAATACACTATATTTTTACCCCATCAGAACACCAGCCTCATCAACACCAAGAAGAAGCTTGAGTCTGACATTGCTCAGCTCCAGAGCGAAGCTGAGGAAGCTGTCCAAGAATCAAGAAATGCTGATGACAAAGCCAAGAAGGCCATCACCGATGTATGTTTGTCTCAAGTTCTTACTTTATGATTAGATTTTTTTTTAAATTTTTTGCCTTGTTATTCACTATCTTCTTGAATATTTTTCCAAAGGCTGCTCTGATGGCAGAGGAACTGAAGAAGGAGCAGGACACCAGCTCTCACTTGGAGAGAATGAAGAAAAACCTTGAGCAAACTGTGAAGGATCTGCAGCATCGTCTGGATGAAGCTGAGCAGCTAGCACTGAAGGGCGGCAAGAAGCAACTTCAGAAGCTTGAGTCCAGAGTACGTACAAATCATAGGGCAGTGGTGAATGAGGTTGAATTTAGAAATTGCTAAATAATAATCTGTATTCTGTTAATGTGATCTCCAGGTTCGAGAACTAGAGAACGAATTGGATAATGAACAGAAGCGTGGAGTTGAGGCAGTGAAAGGTGTCCGCAAATACGAAAGGAGACTGAAGGAGTTAACTTACCAGGTAAAGTATTATTCTTGTGTGTATTAGAATTAAAAGGCTCTGGTCAAAAAGAAAGAAATATATAAGTGTAGATTACATATATTACTTAAAATTCTTTGTAAAATAACTCTGTAAAAATGTTTCTCCTCTTTCAGACTGAAGAAGACAGGAAAAATGTCCTGAGATTGCAGGATCTGGTGGACAAACTGCAGCTGAAAGTAAAGGCCTACAAGAGACAGGCTGAGGAATCTGTAAGTACAAACCCAATGAGTTCTTGTTTGTAGCCAAATGAAGTCCAAGTAGAATACCATGTTTCCCCTAAGTTGTGGTCATCTGTTTTTATATACTTTGCTGTTAATCATTCCTCATTTATTCTTATGTTTCAGGAGGAACAAGCCAACGCTCACTTGGGTCGGTTCAGGAAGGTCCAGCATGAGCTGGAAGAAGCAGAGGAGAGAGCTGACATTGCCGAGTCTCAAGTGAACAAGCTCAGAGCTAAGAGCCGTGATGTTGGCAAGGTATAACACTAGCTCTAAGTAACGCGTAATACAATTTTTCCATCCTGATCAGTTTACTTTTAGATATTGTTTTTCACTCTAAATACCCTTTATGGATGAAGAAGTATTCTCTAAACTGGCATTATCACGCTTTTTAATGAAGGGGGATATATAACTCAAGAGCATAACCATGGATTATAGCTGCAGATGGTTTAATCAATATCTCATTCGTTTTACAGAAAGAAGGGCAGGAGTGAAGAAGTTTGAATGACTGAAAAGGGAAAAACTTGCAAAATGTGATTTTTTCTACTTTCTTTTGTAGTACCTTACCTCCAACCCCCATCCCCTACCTTCTCCTAAATAAATGATGTATTTGAATTTTCAAATATGTTGTCACATTACTTATTTGAAATAGATTGATATAACAAATATATTACATCCGTAATCTATCAGATATTACGTAAGGTGTGAATGGCTTTATAATATTTGACTGGACTAAGAATTCAATCCACAGTGTAAACATTAGATGACTCTTTACAGGAAGTGTCTAGGAAGGCTTTGCAAATCACATACAGAAAGGTGTGACTAGGGTGCATAAACAAAGTGATTTAACTCCTAAATGGCAGAGGATTGAGCAGTGAGACTACAGGGACATAATGTATACACCAACACTGCTTCATTAAACTAGTTATTTTGATGACTATAGTGTCCCTTTAAACACAGTTTGTCTACTTTACAATATATGCTTTGGACTAAAACTTGATTGTGATGTAATTTGCTAAATCATTCCTATACATTTAAAAGGAAATGCAGTATTACATGTACAAGGTTAACACAAGTTATCACAGATTTTCTATGTTTTATTCAACAATGTAACAAGATTCCATTCCCCTTTAATTAGTCATGTGAACAACTTTCCAGTTCCATATCCATGCAGACACTTAAAGGAACTATGGAGGTAAAAAAAAAAGGTGATTTTCACAGTGAGAAGCATGCAAACGCCTCTAGCGGCTGCCACTAGAGGCTTTAGAGGCTGGATTAAACCATTTATAAACATTATAGTAATATAACATAGCCAGATACCCAGCCCAAGTTGGCTTCTCTCACCTTAAGTACTGTTGCTGGCTGGCTGTTGTGGCTGATTGGCAGGCGTCTGTGGATGGTTGGGTGCAGCTAGCTGCTGTGTTTAGTTGGCAGGCAGGCTTGCTGTGGCTGGCAGACTGGTGTGGCAGGCCTCTTTCTTCTCCCAGCCCCTTTGTAGTGTGCTGCTGGCTGCGGCTAGCTGCTGTGGCTGGCAGACTGATCTGGCTGGCTGGCTGGCTGGCAGGCCTCTTTTTTCTTCCAGCTTTTTACATTTTGGGGTGTGGTGGGCTTGCAAAATAGAGGATCCACCCCAGGTGTCTGCTCTAGGTATGCCCCTGGTCCCAAGGCATACAAAGGTTTTTGAGGATAGTGTGGAAGATACATAAAATATATGGAGTTTCTGTCATGATTGAAGTTAAATTACTTAATTGCTTGCAGATAATATTACAACATTTTGGAAATGTTTGCTTTTGACGAGGGAAATCAGGGTGCAGGTCTGGATCTGAAAATAGAACCACCTGTGACACTGTTGTGTCTGTTTCCAAGAACAGATAGTATATGTGCATCAGAGTGTGTGTATGTAACTTTTTTATGCATGGGGAACTACTGATTGATTTAGAATGCCAGCTGACCGTTCTAGCAATTCAGCGGCGCTCCTGCCAAGCAGTACTTTGCACTTCTGAAACTCCCCATAAGACATCGAAAACTCTTATGTATGGGTCACTATGTCCGCATAAAAAACCCCATGAGACATTGAAACTCTTATGTATGGGTCAATATGTCCACAGCTTTAATAACTTATAAAATCAAAAAAACATACTAAAGTTGTTGCCAACCCCCAGCCATACATTATAACATCACCCACATATCAAATAAAAGGCAATGACAAATATAAAAAACATTAACATAACAATATAACAATCACATAAATATCAACATGTAGAGTGCATTTTCACATAATCTTGGTAGGAGTATAACCAGATAATTCTACACCTCCGAGGCTCTGAGCCACCGAGAAGCTTGAAACCTACCACAATGTACCAACAGAAAACAAACCATTTTAACTAACCAACTGACTACCCTTGCTCTTTTATTAACTTAGAATGCCCATAACCCCCCTAACCTTCCTTACATCAGCCCACCACAAGCTCAGACCTTGGACCCTTAAGCCGTCTGGGCTCCGTCGCTCCAAAGAAACAATGCCTTAATCAAACCTTCCAAACCTTAATCAGAGATCTCCCTCACCGGCCCACATGCAGGATATTGCGGCCGCTGGCGGGGAGAGAGGGAGGGAGCCAGCCTGCCAGCAGAGGAACCCGGCGGAGCTTTAACTAACAGCTCCGCCGGGTTCCTCTCGCGAGATTCGGAGCGTTGCCATGGCAACGCTCCGGGTCTCGCGAGAGTGAACTCTAGCCTCACAGGCTAGAGTTCACTCACCACTAGGACCACCAGGGATGGATGGCAGCCCCAGCAGCAGGATCCCCCCTCCCAGGCTAAAGGTAAGCAGGGAGGGGGGAAATAATCACTCAGGTATAATCACAGCACCCCTAACACTCACAGCACACACACACACACTGCACCCCTAACACTCACAGCACCCTCACACACACACACTGCACCCTAACACTCACAGCACACACACTGTACCCCTGACACTCACAGCACCCTCACACACACACACTGCACCCCTAACACTCACAGCACACACACTGCACCCCTGACACTCACAGCACCCTCACACACACACACTGCACCCCTGACACGCACAGCACACACACTGCACCCCTAACACTCACAGCACCCTCACACACACACACTGCACCCCTAACACTCACAGCACACACACTGCACCCCTGACACTCACAGCACCCTCACTCACACACACTGCACCCCTGACACTCACAGCAGCTTCCTCACATGCATACACTGCACCCTCACAAACAGCTTCCTCACATGCACATAGCACCCTCACGCACAGTGGCGTACACATGACCCATGGGGCCCCGGTGCGAAAATTGATCCGTGGCCCCCCCCTCCCCCTTACTCGGCGCGGTTCGGGGCCGCAACACATGGCGGCGGGCACCTGGTCGCAGGGCTGCGACCCCGCGACCGCGGTATGCACACACACTTAAAGGACCACTACAGACACCCAGATCACATCAGCTCAATGAAGTGGTCTGGGTGCCAGGTCCCTTTAGTTTTAACCCTGCAGCTGAAAACATAGTCGTTTCAGAGAAACGGCTATGTTTCACTGTGGTTTAATCCAGCCTCTGGTGGCTGTCTCATTGACAGCCGCTAGAGGAGCTTCCGCGATTCTCACTGTGAAAATCACAGTGAGAAGACACTGAACGTCCATAGGAAAGCACTGAGTAATGCTTTCCTATGGGCGGTTTAAATTCGCGCGCCTCTTGCCGCGCATATGCATTCGGAGCTGAGAGGCGGAGGGATCCCCAGCGCCAAGGGAGTCCGGCGCTGGAGAAAGGTAAATGCTGAAGACACATGCACACATACTCTCACGAACAGATGCATACACACTAGCTAACAGACACACACATTTACTGACAGAGACACACTCAGCGACAAACATACATACACACTCACTTACAAAACATACACTTTCACTGACAAACACACACTCACTAACAGACATCAAACAGACTCAGGAACAGACACACACAGTAACACACTCACTGACACTCACTAGCAGACACACACCCAATAACAGACACACTCACTGACACTCACCCAATAACAGACCCACTCACTAGCAGACACACACACTAACACACTAACACACACAAACTTACACTAACACCAACACACTTACACACACACACTAACACTAACACACACAATCTTACACTAACACCAACACACTTACACACACACTAACACACACAAACTTACACTAACACCAACACACTGTAATTAAAAAATGCCCGGGCCGAATTTTCTTCCCAGTCCAGCCCTGCTTCAAGGAGTTGATTTCCAGCCTGAGGAAACTATGGCACTCGGTAGGGCGGATGCAGTATTGGGTGCAGCTGACCCCCCCAGCAGTTCCACCCCTTCCCTTCTTAAAAAAGTGGTTGAAACATAGAAACATAGAATGTGACGGCAGATAAGAACCATTCGGCCCATCTAGTCTGCCCAATTTTATAAATACTTTCATTAGTCCCTGGCCTTATCTTATAGTTAGGATAGCCTTATGCCTATACCACGCATGCTTAAACTCCTTTACTGTGTTACCTCTACCACTTCAGCTGGAAGGCTATTCCATGCATCCACTACCCTCTCAGTAAAGTAATACTTCCTGATATTATTTTTAAACCTTTGTCCCTCTAATTTAAGACTGTCTTCTTGTTGAGGCCCTGGCCGCCACCCACAGCTGGAGCATTCATGCTTGAATTTGCAAGTTGCTCCCCACTTGCACTGGACCTCGTTAAAGAGCCAGCAAAAAACTTTCCTGTGGGTGGCTGACGAGGGGGACTGACACCCTGCACGAGCCCCTAGCTGAAAGGGAGACGCTCTTTAAACCATCATCAGCTTCATCCAGAGATGAAAATCCATCTGGTCCCATCTCATCCCGACATTAGTCGATAACCGCCACCGGAACTGCTCATCGTACTTCCACAACGCCATCCCCCTGTACGTATGATATGCCTCCAAGAGCCATCCAGATAACAAAATAATGAGAAACAAAGCCCTGGTGACTTCTTGCCAAGCACACTGGCAAGGATACAAAACAAATGCAGCCAATTCCCAAACAATTCCCAGAGGGCTGTCCTAGACCCAGTAGCAACCCCTGCCAGAGGGGCCCCTGCCCGCAACTCCAACCTGGTACCAGATTGAACCTCTGGAAAAGTCCTGGAAGGCCTGTCACTACCCCCAACAAAACCTCAGCTGCAATTAGCCAGATAGTTCTCCCAGGCCCACTGTCAGGCTTCTGAGCAGGTGAGAGAGGAGACGATTGCAAGGGTTATTGGTTTAAACTTTATTTGTCGTATTAGACATAACAAATTTACTGAAATAAAGAATAAAGGGCAGTCTGCCAAAAACAGGATACTTTGTGAGAAAAAACAGGGTTTAGGTGATATGCCACAAACAAGATCTTTAGAAAGTAAATGAATAAAGCCTTTTGTATACAAGCAAGCTTGATGTTATATCAAGTAGTTAAGGATTTCCAGGATACTTTGCGATGCAGCTAGTTATAGGTAAATACCTTTTAGGATAAGGCAATACAGGATCATGCAGAGTTGCAGAGGTTGAAACAGGTAGGTATAGTCCAAAATAATATAATACAGGTTGCTTATGAGATCATACTGTGATACAGCAATTGAAGCAGTTAAGATTCTTCAATCACAAATCAGGATTCTTGGAAGCTGATAAGGAAAGTCTTTCGGTAAGATGTAATTCAGGCAAATTCAGGATGAAGTAATGCAGGTTAGTGCCTTTCAGTATGAGGAAATGCAGATGAGTCCAGGATGAGGCACTGCAGGTAAGTTCTCTACAGAATGAAATCATGTAGATAAAATACAGGATATTACCAGGAACAGAGATTCTTTATCAGAGCATAGACTTCATCTTTATCAGAGCATACAGTTGCAAGAAAAAGTATGTGAACCCTTTGGAATGATATGGATTTCAGCACAAATTGGTCATAAAATGTGATCTGATCATCATCTAAGTCACAACAATAGGCAATCACAGTCTGCTTAAACTAATTATACACAAAGAATGAAATGTTGCCATGTTTTTATTGAACACACCATGTAAACATTCACAATGCAGGTGGAAAAAGTATGTGAACCCCTAGACTAATGACATCTCCAAGAGCTAATTGGAGTGAGATGTCAGCCAACTGGAGTCCAATCAATGAGATGAGATTGGAGGTGTTGGTTACAGCTGCCCTGCCCTATAAAAAACACACACCAGTTCTGGGTTTGCTTTTCACAAGAAGCATTGCCTGATGTGAATGATGCCTCGCACAAAAGAGCTCTCAGAAGACCTACGATTAAGAATTGTTGACTTGCATAAAGCTGGAAAGGGTTATAAAAGTATCTCCAAAAGCCTTGCTGTTCATCAGTCCACGGTAAGACAAATTGTCTATAAATGGAGAAAGTTCAGCACTGCTGCTACTCTCCCTAGGAGTGGCCGTCCTGTAAAGATGACTGCAAGAGCACAGCGCAGACTGCTCAATGAGGTGAAGAAGAATCCTAGAGTGTCAGCTAAAGACTTACAAAAGTCACTGGCAAATGCTAACATCCCTGTTAGCGAATCTACAATACGTAAAACACTAAGCAAGAATGGATTTCATGGGAGGATACCACAGAGGAAGCCACTGCTGTCCAAACAAAACATTGCTGCACGTTTAAAGTTTGCACAAGAGCACCTTGATATTCCACAGCAGTACTGACAAAATATTCTGTGGACAGATGAAAGCAAAGTTGAGTTGTTTGGAAGAAACACACAACACTATGTGTGGCGGGAAAAAGGCACAGCACACGGACATCAAAACCTCATCCCAACTGTGAAGTATGGTGGTGGGGGCATCATGGTTTGGGGCTGCTTTGCTGCCTCAGGGCCTGGACGGATTGCTATCATAGAAGGAAAAATGAATTCCCAAGTTTATCAAGACATTTTGCAGGAGAACTTAAGGCCATCTGTCTACCAGCTGAAGCTCAACAGAAGTTGGGTGTTGCAACAGGATGGCTTAAACAAAAGAAAATACACCTTCTGAAGTGGCCCATTCAAAGTCCTGACCTCAACCCGATTGAGATGCTGTGGCATGACCTCAAGAAGGCAATTCACACCAGACATCCCAAGAATATTGCTGAATTGAAACAGTTCTGTAAAGAGTAATGGTCAAGAATTACTCCTGACCGTTGTGCACGTCTGATCTGCAACTACAGGAAACATTTGGTTGACGTTATTGCTGCCAAAGGAGGTTCAACCAGTTATTAAATCCAAGGGTTCACATACTTTTTCCACCTGCACTGTGAATGTTTACATGGTGTGTTCAATAAAAACATGGCAACATTTCATTCTTTTGTGTGTTATTAGTTTAAGCAGACTGTGATTGTCTATTGTTGTGACTTAGATGATGATCAGATCACATTTTATGACCAATTTGTGCAGAAATCCATATCATTCCAAAGGGTTTACATACCTTTTCTTGCAACTGTAGACTTCAATGTCAAGGTAATGTTGTGTGCTGGGAGTAGACTTATCAAGCATCCTAATTAGTTAATCCAGGTGAGTTTATTAAGGTGAGTGAATAGATTAGTGGCTAGGGAGGCCACTAGAGGAGAAAATCATGAAGTTCACCTAAAGGGCCAGTAATAAATGAAAAAGTCTTACATGTCAGTTTTGGAACCTGACATCCACCCTCTGACCCAGGAGCCACGCTACCTCCAGGTGATGGGCCTCCTGGTCCCCAATTGTGCTGCCCCCTCCTCTCGACTTCAGGCTATCACTGCCTACTGCAGCCTCTAACACCGCCATACCCGTGCTCAGCCATAGCAGGGGTCTCGTCCTCCATGCCGGATGCGGACTTCTGTGCTCCAACTCCAACACAGCACCCAGCCTGGATCCACTCAGCGGCTCTGTTCCTTGCCGATACCGGCAGTCAGCTCCTCTACAGATCACTCAGTCATCCTGAGAAACAAAACACAAACTCAGCAGGCCCAACCAAGCGCAGGTAAAAACGTCCACCAACTCTGCCTGGTAAGTTAATTAATAGTGACAGGATTCTAAAATGTCTGGACTTTATATACCAGCCATGCCTCCGATCAAGGATCACACAATTACCTGCCTAAACCTGCCTCCAAGCCCTGTCAAGGCCTTTTTTCTCAAAGCTGTGCTTGCTCCATGGGGCTACAGTCCTTTGGTTGTGGATAATGTTTACTTTGGAGAAAGTTTACAATTTATTTTTTTTTGTATACCTTGGCCAATTTTAATTTTGCATCCCCAAATGAAAAGTTTAGCTTTCTCTTAGTAGCCCCAACGTTTATAGAAAACACCGTTTTTTTTTTAAATTCTTTATTTTATTCGTGCATAGATGTAACAAGCAGTTTTGCACTGCCACGACAGCTGGTGCACACATAAATGAAACATATGGTGACAGTAATGTGGCATAAGAAACATTGCACATTTTTTATATAAACAAACAGAATTATGCTTAATAAGAGTTCGCCATGCTTAATGAGATTTAGTTATGCTTAGTAAGATTCAGTCATGCCTAGTCAGGGTCAACCATGTTCAGTGAGGCTTAACCATTCTCAGTAAGGGTTAACCTTGTTCAGTGAGATTTAACTATGCCCAGTTAGGTTTAACCATGCTTAGAAAGGGTTAACTATGCCCAGTTAGGTTTAACCATGCTTAGAAAGGGTTAACTATGCCCCGTTAGGTTTCACCATGCTTAGAAAGGGTTAACTGTGCCCCGTTAGGTTTAACCATGCGTAGAAAGGGTTAACTGTGCCCAGTTAGGTTTAACCATGCTTAGAAAGGGTTAACTGTGCCCAGTTAGGTTTAACCATGCTTAGAAAGGGTTAACTGTGCCCAGTTAGGTTTAACCATGCTTAGAAAGGGTTAACTGTGCCCAGTTAGGTTTAACCATGCTTAGAAAGGGTTAACTGTGCCCCGTTAGGTTTAACCATGCTTAGAAAGGGTTAACTGTGCCCCGTTAGGTTTAACCATGCTTAGAAAGGGTTAACTATGCCCCGTTAGGTTTAACCATGCTTAGAAAGGGTTAACTGTGCCCCGTTAGGTTTAACCATGCTTAGAAAGGGTTAACTGTGCCCAGTTAGGTTTAACCATGCATGATCAAAGTAACCATTCCTATACTATGCCACCTAAAAAAAGAAAAAAGAAAGAATACAGCTAAACTTACTTCCATTCAAGTGTCGAGGCCAACTTCTCCCTGTCTTCCTCCACTGAAGATGTTCCCACTCGCCGAAAAGGAAGGGATGTCAGAGAAGGCTAGCTGAGGGGAGGACATTGCTCTGCTAGTTGGAATAGTATGAATTTTAATATTCAGAGAACAATACGGATGCTGGTAGATGGGCCTGGACATTAAGTAACATTGCTTCAACCTCTCTGAACAAAGATCAGAATAGCCTTTTGTTTAGTGACCCTGAGAAGTAAAAATGAGAAATCCCTATTTACTGTTTCATTCCTGAGATATTTGTGTATAAGGATTACAGTGAACGATGATTAATTACTAAGATGGACTGTCCCACCTGAAAATCCTAGAAGCCAGAGAGACTGATCAAGAAGACCATCCTAAATATCATCAAAATAAGATCCGGTAGGAGGCTGACTGAGGGCAATGGACTGAGTTACAGACCAGAGCATCCAGAGAGGAGAATCCCAAATCAAATGAATTCATCATAAATGTGGTAATGTATAAAGGTGTCTCTCTATCTTTATTTTTAAAATACATTTGACTGTTAAATGCCTGTGGATATATCTATTGTGAACTGAAACTATCCCATTGAAGTGGTATTAATAGAAAAGTTATATTTTATTCTACCTGCAGTCTAATTGAGATATATCTTATTAAACTAAGGAATATTATTAAAGGAACACTATAGTCACCTAAATTACTTTAGCTAAATAAAGCAGTTTTAGTGTATAGATCATTCCCCTGCAATTTCACTGCTCAATTCACTGTCATTTAGGAGTTAAATCACTTTGTTTCTGTTTATGCAGCCCTAGCCACACCTCCCCTGGCTATGATTGACAGAGCCTGCATGAAAAAAAAACTGGTTTCACTTTCAAACAGATGTAATTTACCTTAAATAATTGTATCTCAATCTCTAAATTGAACTTTAATCACATACAGGAGGCTCTTGCAGGGTCTAGCAAGCTATTAACATAGCAGGGGATAAGAAAATCTTAATTAAACAGAACTTAAAATAAAGAAAGCCTAAATAGGGCTCTCTTTACAGGAAGTGTTTATGGAAGGCTGTGCAAGTCACATGCAGGGAGGTGTGACTAGGGTTCATAAACAAAGGGATTTAACTCCTAAATGGCAGAGGATTGAGCAGTGAGGCTGCAGGGGCATGTTCTATACAGCAAAACTGCTTCATTAAGCTATAGTTGTTCAGGTTACTATAGTGTCCCTTTAATTCCTCTTTTATAGGTATCGGTTCAACATATATATATTTCTACTAAAGCTAGAAGGAACCTTAAATTATATAAGTTTATGTCTTAAATCAATAGGGTTAAAGAAAGTTGTGGCCCATCATTGTATAAAATTAAATATCAAAGTACTATAGCTAAATTTTATTTGCATAGACTTGGCAGGGTTGGTTGATATTTAAACTAATTAATAAACCAACAATTGTTTTGCTTAATGCAAAGGGTGCCATGTTGTTAATTCTGTATGCTGGTTCTGCTGTGAAGTTTTTATCTGTTTTATTGTCCTTTGGTGATAAGTTTGTAGATGATAAAAGGTGTAATGTTGACTCTTAGGCTTGTGAAGAAAATGGATTGATTTGTTGATTTGAACTCCTATATGGTATAGCAAATTTATTATAATTGTATTGTTTTGTTGCTTTCGCATTCTATTGTGTGTATTATTAAACGTATTTATATATATATATATATATATATATATATATATGTATTAAAGAAAGTCTGTTTATTTGCCATCTGCCATTCATAAGTGTTTATATCAGCGCTGAAAACAAAGAACTACAGGGTCCCTGAAAGCTCTGTGTGTGTGTAAATCACCAGGTTTAATATCTTTGTCCCATACATGTAAAACCTGAGATTGCGCAACTAAATGGGTAGCACAGAGGCTGTGCATGCTGGATTCAACACCAATTTTGCGCACAGTAGATGCTGCTGGTTCAGTTCTCAAGATCTCCAGGTAATTAACCAGAATACAGTGGAGCTGAAGGAAGCATTAATCGGGAGATACAAACTGTCACTCACCTTTTGAGCAAAAGAACACAATCTGGAAAACCACTAGTGAATGATGCTCTCTTCGAGTGCAGGCTCTGGACCAAGCCACCCAGTCACTCAGAGGCATCAGTTTATTGAATTCAAGCTGCTTGTAATAGAAACACTGTTTCAACATATCTACATGAAAGCCTTACGAGTTTCTTGAAAGAAAATGCTTCTATTTATGGACTTTTAAAGACTACAAATTAAGGGTTACAATACCGCTTATGTTACCCGGTTTTCATACCAATTTTTTATTGTATTATTTCTTTGTGATCATTAGCCTTTAAAAATTATTTTAAGTCATTGCCATAGCAACCACAACTGGACGATATAAAAGGCATACACCTCACATTCCGACTTCACCTATGATCAGAATTGATGCAGGACACAGTGGTGATGGTTGGATTTGGTAGGTTGTAGTAAATGTTGAAAGGTATAGGTCAATATTAGCCTTTAGGTACAAACATTTACACACAGTACTTAGGGAACATATATTAGTCAGGACACATGTACAACACTTCACACACATTCAGATACACACTTTTTTGCCATATTTATCCTTTCTTCCATCTCGTTAAACCAAAAACATGTGAAGTCAGCTAGAAGGCAGCTAGCACAACAAGATATTCCAATCTCGCACAATGTCCAGAACTGCTTAAATCCAGGATATCTTGAAAGCTGATAATTCACAACATCCACATCCTCATCCATGCCTCTCTGGCTTTCTTCCGAGTCCCCCTAAAGGAGGCATCACTCTGCAGGCCTTGTGCCAGGAGCATCATGTGTCTTCCACCAGATATCTCCTCCTCTCGAGACCACTCATGCAAGAAACAAGGTAAAAAGTTTTTTTTATCTATATTTTTATATTTAGATTAATTTGTTTAGTTTTGTAAAATTTTATTTTGAAGAATATTTTTTTTCAAAGTGAAAGAGATTATCTGGTTTTTATTATACTTTTCAGTTACTATGCGTACATATACAAATAGTATATATGTAGACTGTAGTTTACAAACTCTGATACGTGTTACTACCTCCACTATGAAAAATGTTGTTTCACACGTATGTAGCGTTATGGAGGTTGGCAAATATAGTACCGTTTAAATAAGCTATTGCAACACACTGTACTTACTAATGTGGCATGAGATCACGTAGACACTTTAAATAACTTGTTCGAGCAAATGGTAAGGAGTTTAAGCATGCGTGGGATAGGCATAAGGCTATCCTAACTATAAGATAAGGCCAGGGACTAATTAAAGTATTTAGAAAATTGGGCAGCCTAGATGGGCCGAATGGTTCTAATCTGCCGTCACGTTCTATGTTTCTATGTAAATGTTTCTTTCATGAAGATAAATGGCTGTATATTATCAGTTTATATAGGTTTGGATTGTCTTGTTTTCACATCTTTTGACCTGTTTATCAATTTTACATGATGGATGTATCTCACAGATATAGTAGAAGAAATATTAAACCCTTAGAGACACCGCTTCAGAAAAAAAGGCCTGCATGACGGACAATGCCCTTAAAGGGGTTAAATCCTCACACCACCTTTAGAATTAATCCTTACCAAAATTGTATAATTATAATGCAGAACTTGCCATGCAAGGCACACTTCTAGTGAGTCTAAAAAGGGCCCATTGTAATTACAGCAATATCTCTAAAACAGGTGAGTTGTGATAGTGAAGTTGAAAGACAGTGTTTATGTTATAATCGTCATACAGGGATGTATACTACAATGAAAAAAGAATGGATGTTTAAATGTTTGTGGCATTAACACAGGAGCAATAGAGAAAATGTCAGATTGGAACACCGATGAATAAAGAGCAACTGTCAAGAAAAATAGGTGTTGCAAGTTAGGATTGGCTGAATTATACCTACATAGAATATGTCTATGTTGTCTGAATTGTAAATGTATAGTGTATGATCTAAAAGACAGAATTAAATACTACACAAGCAGAAATTTACAAGCTTCAAACATCAAATTTATTTAGGAATATAGATAAACCTGCATTCCATGTTACACACATTACCTAAGAATGTAATGATAGAAATGTTATAAAGTGAGGACCTGAAAAAATATCTTACCTTGTCGCTGACGTCGCGGCTCTTAGCTCTGAGTTAGTTAACTTGAAACTCGGCAATTTTGGCTCTCTCCTCGACTTCCTCCAGCTCATGCTCGACCTTCCTGAACTTCCAAGTGAGCGTTGGCTTGTTCCTCCTGAGACACATGAGGAATAATTAACAGCAAAGTCTATAAAAAAGATGACCACCACCTAAAGGGAACAGAGTATTGTAACTGAACATTTGTTGGCTACAAACAAGATCTCATTGAGTTTGTACTTACAGATTCCTCAGCCTGTCTCTTGTAGGTTTTTACTTGCAGCTGCAGTTTGTCCACCACATTTTTCCTGTCTTCTTCAGTTTGAAAGAGGAGAACACTTTTACAGTGCCTTTTTCATTTTAATGCACACAAGAAGAATACCTGGTAATACCCTGCAGGTAAAGTAGTCTTCTTGTGAGCATTAAAATGAAAAAGGCACTGGTCAAAAACAAAAAATATATAGATTTAAGATATTACTAAAAAATTACTTTAAAAAAACAATGCCATAATCTCCAGTAGACTCTGTAAAAGTGTTCTCCTCTTTCAGACTGAAGAAGACAGGAAAAATGTTAAAGGATAGGATTGTTGAACATCTAAAAACACATGGATTTCAAGATCAGAGACAACATGGGTTTACTTCAGGGAGATCATGCCAAACTAATCTTTTTGATTTTTTTGATTGGGTAACTAAAATTATAGATCAGGGTGGTGCAGTAGACATTGCTTACCTAGATTTCAGCAAGGCTTTTGACACTGTTGCACATAAAAGGCTTATCAATAAACTGCAATCTTTAAGTTTGGATTCCAATATTGTTGAATGGGTAAGGCAGTGGCTGAGTGACAGGCAACAGAGGGTTGTAGTTAATGGAATATATTCGAAGCTTGGACTTGTCACCAATGGGGTACCTCAGGGATCTGTACTTGGACAATTCTCTTTAATATTTTTATTAGTGATATTGCAGAAGGTCTTGATGGTAAGGTATGTCTTTTTGCTGATGATACTAAGATATGTAACAGGGTTGATGTTCCAGGAGGATAAGCCAAATGACAAATGATTTAGGTAAACTAGAAAAATGGTCAGAATTGTGGCAACTGACATTTAATGTGGATAAGTGCAAGATAATGCATCTTGGACGTAAAAACCCAAGGGCAGAGTACAGAATATTTGATAGAGTCCTAACCTCAACATATGAGGAAAGGGATTTAGGGGTGATTACTTCTGATGACTTAAAGGTAGGCAGACAATGTAATAGAGCAGCAGGAAATGCTAGCAGAATGCTTGGTTGTATAGAGAGAGGTATTAGCAGTAGAAAGAGGGAAGTACTCATGCCATTGTACAGAACACTGGTGAGACCTCACTTGGAGTATTGTACACAGTACTGGAGACCGTATCTTCGAAAGGATATTGATACCTTAGAGAGGGTTCAGAGAAGGGCTACTAAACTGGTTCATGGATTGCGGGATAAAACTTACCAGGAAAGGTTAAAGGATCTTAACATGTATAGCTTGGAGGAAAGACGAGACAGGGGGGATATGATAGAAACATTTAAATACATAAAGGGAATCAACACAGTAAGGGAGGAGACTATATTTAAAAGAAGAAAAACTACCACAACAAGAGGACATAGTCTTAAATTAGAGGGACAAAGGTTTAGAAATAATATCAGGAAGTATTACTTTACTGAGAGGGTAGTGGATGCATGGAATAGCCTTCCAGCTGAAGTGGTAGAGGTTAACACAGTAAAGGAGTTTAAGCATGCGTGGGATAGGCATAAGGCTATCCTAACTATAAGATAAGGACAGGGACTAATGAAAGTATTTAGAAAATTGGGCAGACTAGATGGGCCGAATGGTTCTTATCTGCCGTCACATTCTATGTTTCTATGTTTCTATGTAAGTTAGCTCCTTTACTCTCCTCTTGTATTTGCAGACACCTTTCACTGCCTCAACTCTATGCTTCTGTTCATTATCGAGTTCGTTCTCTAGTTCTCGAACCTGGAGATCACATTAGCAGAGTACAGATTATTATTTTGTCATTTCGAAATTCAGCCTTATTCACCACAACCCTGTGATTTGTACATAGCCCGGACTCAAGCTTCTGGAGCTGCTTCTTGTGATCTTCAGGGCTAGCTGTTCAGCTTTATCCAGACGGTGCTGCATATTTCACGCTTTGCTCAAGGTTCTTCTTCATTCTCTCCAAGTGAGAGCTGGTGTCCTGCTCCTTCTTCAGTTCCTCTGCCATCAGAGCAGCCTTTGGAAAAAAATTCAAGAAGATAGTGAATAGCAAAGCAAAACAAACAACAAAAGAAAGAAACTGAACATAACGTGCAAACTTTGTACAAAACATACATCGGTGATGGCCTTCTTGGCTTTGTCCTCAGCATTTCTTGATTCTTGGACAGCTTCCTCAGCTTCGTTCTGGAGTTGAGCAATGTCAGACTCAAGCTTCTTCTTGGTGTTGTGAAGGCTGGTGTTCTGAAGTGCATAGGAATAAAGTGTATTTAATATTCCATCTATTTAGGCACATTATATCAATGAACATTTAATGTATTTCCTTTCTATGTACTTTACATGTGAGTTCAAAAGCTGGACATGTTCACTTGCATCCATGCAGCTTTACAAGATATCTCTGTCTGTTCCAGAGCAGACCTGTGCTCTTCAAGTTCAGCCTGGAACAGGTTGGTTCTATGTACAATCATGGCCACCTGTTCTTTCAGATCTTCCTGTCCTCTGACTGCATCATCCAGCTGAAGCTGGGTATCCTATAAAAGATACAGCAAAATACATGTTCAAGCTGTTATGTATTATGGACAATATTCTAGGCATTACGTTTTAAAAACCAACAGCTTTAACACTAGTGTAAAAATAATAAATATTAATATTGTTGTGTGAGGTGCTCCTGAGATACCTTCAATTGTGCCTGCACATTGCGGAGCTGTTTCTGTGCCTCTGCAGCCTGGCGGTTGGCGTAGCTGAGCTGAATTTCAAGTTCATTCAAGTCTCCTTTCCATCTTCTTCTTCAGTATCAGAGCATCATCCTGCTTTGCAGGGTATCAACAGCTCTCTTACTGCAATTTTCCTGTCCACCTCACATTTTATCTGGTTCAATTCCAGCTGAACACTGAGGATCTTGGCTTCTTCATGTTCCAAAGATTCCTATTAGAAATATCTATTTATCATTGCTTGTTTAACAGTATCCCTTCACAATATTGGTTGCAGATTGTGATAAACTCCCCTTTCCAAGTGAGTTTGCCACAAGCTCCTGGAGGAGCCTGCTTGCCAGCCTCCTGCCCACAGACTATGGGCCCTGTAAAATTTTATGTAAAAGTCTCTGTTCGTGTATTTGGACTATATGGTTGGGGAAACAAACAGCCGCACAAACCACACACCACCCTGGAGCTTGTTAAGCCTAATTGATACTTTGTAGCAATTTCCACCGCAGTGTTCAAAGTGTTCGTCTGGGTGACTGCAATTCCTAAGGACAACTATGAGGTGTACCGCATGAACACAGGCGGCGGTGTTTGTTTGTTGAGTTCATGGAACTATTTTGGGACACTGAAACTCCCGAACATCGCTGGACTTCCATGATCGCCTGCGTTCGATTCTACAACACTTAGAAGGAAACATTCCCACGAATAAGGGGAACAAACTCCAGGGTAAGAATATGGACTATGTTCAGTAGTTTGTTCATTTTTAAACTACCAAACTAGACCAACCACAAGCCCTGATTCTCTGGAACTATTTTGGGCTTAGGACCATGCGTGCGGTCAGTCAAATTATGACTTCCAGGAAAATCCTGAACCCCTGAAACGATCTGGGTGATTTTTGGATATGTTGGTCACCCAGATCAAGGCTATCAGTGGATGTTTTTACTTTAGTCTACTCTCAGGTCTAGGGGGGAGTGCTCCTTTCATGGGTACCTGCATAAAAGTCCAGTTGTGGCTACCAATAAATATATTCCAGCTTGTACTCTTAGAACTATGTGTCGTCTGGTTACTGGGACTTTGCTCCACAGTGACTGGCTTTTAAAATTTACTGTAAGTTCTGCAGTAATTCAGCAGTACTAATATGTGTGAGGTTGGGATCTGTTGTGACACAAGTAGTATAGCAGGACAAAATACAATAGGAAGAGATTTAGGAGACATAAAGGTCCCATTTGACATCTAAAATGATATAATTCAATATATTACAGTAATTTGCAGAAATGGATACCATAGTTGCCACCTGTATAGCTATACTAATGCTAATACTAGAAAATATGCTTAGATTAAGTTAAGAATTATTGAAAAGTTAGCAATGTCTCCTGCAACCAATATAATCTAGATAAACCTATGTTGCAAATTCGTTTTCGCGTTTCAAGGTCTCAAATTGTTCCAAAGCCTCCTCATAAGCATTCTTCAGCTTGAAGATATCGGTGCTCAGGCATCGGGGATTCTTTTTTAGCAGCCTCCATCTCAGCCTAACTTTTTTCGTATTTTTCCTTCCATCCTACCAGGATCTTTTAGATTTATACAGAATGATAATGTGTAAATATTGGAGTTTTTTTTGTTTTGTTTGTTGTCTAGAGCAGCTACTGCACTGTTGGCTTTCTCAACATCCACCATCAGGTTCTCTACCTCAGGCTGTAGCCTCTGCTTGGTCTTTTCCAGAGAGGCACATTTAGAGTTTACAGCCTCTACCTGTTCCTCAGCATCCTGCAAGCGCTGAGCTAGCTTCTGCTTGGAAGGATAATTGAAGGTATAATTTAAGGACATTATTCAAAATGCGATAGCATTGGATATAATGTTGTTTTTTTAGTGGGAACAAACTTGGCCTCTTCTAGTTCCTCTGTACGCTGAGTGGCATCAGTTTCGTATTTGGTTCTCCATTGAGCAACTTCACCATTTGCTTTGGACAGAGAGCACTGAAGTTCAGCCTTGGCCTCTTGTTCCTCCTCATATTGCTGATGGAGCAACTCGTTGTCATGGCAGGAGGGTCAGAGGGCGTGAGCCAGGGCATTCTTGGCCTGAAAAATAAGGGGAAATATGTATTCATAATTACGGTAAGAATATATGCAATGAAATATTCATGTTGAATATGTGAAAGTTAATGTAATGTAGCATGTTTATTTTTTATATATTGTTCAAATTCCTTAATGTCACTTTTAATATAATATCCTGTAGAAATAAACAAAGATCTAAGAACACTCATATTCAGAAGCCATAATAGTTCTATGATTGTTTACCTTTGATTCCTCCTCAAGTTGTTACTTGAGTTCCTCCACTTGTTGTGTAAAGCCTTGCTTTCCACTTGAGAGCTGTGAAATCAGACATTCCTTCTCTTCAAGCTGACGGGAAAGCTCACTTAGAATGAATGAGAAATCCATGCAATTTTATGTTTTAGGTAAATTGATATATGTTTGTTTTGTAAATATAAGAATTATTTTTTTTTGAAAGATTGCATTTCCATTTTAGTTTTAGGCTTTATGATATATAGAAAGGCGTAGCCTGTAATTGTGGGAGGGGTTGCCCGGCTATAAAAACACAGACCACCTCTTTCATTGGACTGTTAACACCGGGTTCAGACCGAAGCTATCTACTTCTGGTTACGGTCCGCTTACCTTGTGACCGCCTTGTCTCCTCTGCATGGCTCCTGGCTATCCCGCACTTAGAAGCGCTACTCGTGCACCTCTGGCTACAGACCACTCAAGGCTACCGGCCTCCAGAGCTCCTAACACTGCCAAGCCCCGGTCCGTACACTATGCACGATCGTGGAAGGGTGTCTCCTTCCCGGGCTATAAGTTCCATAAGTATTCTGCTATCCCACAACTTACAACCGTGTCATCATTTTACACTTCTGCTATTCCTTATACTGCCCACATATAATCACTCTGCCAATCTACTCACAACTCTTCCTACGTGGTATACACCTGGCTATACTCTCAGGAGGTTACAGTATCCCTCATTATGTATGTAATCCTTACACCTCTTATTAGGCTATTGCGTTTCAGCGTAATTTCAATTATCCGGTGTAACCATGCCACTTACATCGTGATATGTACGATTATTACTTCTCATATAGCCATTACCCTGCTACCCAGCAACGTAATTTTCAGCTTACTAGGGTGTGCTACAACCCTATCATACCTCGGCTCTCCATGAGCTATGCAGCAAGTCACAATTTTTCGGCCCCTCAATTGGGCACTCACATACAGCATAAGATTTTCATTTGGCATAAGTTTCATTTGGCATACAGCCTGCCACAACAATGTCTCTATCTACGGCCCTCACTAGGCCGTCACTAATACGTTACATATGGCCCACCACGGGCATTCCACTCCATTTTGACCCCTCATTTGAGCAATTACGTACAATTATGGCCTCGTCAGGCCACTCGTTTTTCTTCCTACACCACCCTCTGTCAGCATACATTACCACAGCCTCAGGCACTCGCTGGATCTCCAAAGTTCGTTTCCTGCTAGTAAAATATGTGTACAACATACTCTCACACTTACTATTGGTCCTTCTTACGGAAGGACACACAGCGGGACCTCACACATAGATGCAACAAGTTTAATTATCTTCCCTATCCACATGTTGATGGAACTAAGGTTATATACATATTTTGCTCCCTTATTATCTTGATTCTACTATCTATACAAGTCGCCTCGTTGTTGATGTCTTAGTCCTTAAACACAACACAGGTATGTTGTGCCTTTATCTCCATTAACACTTACACCATACTGGACACATTCCCATTAGCGTTCCCATAGTGTCGTTAGGTTCCTCTCTATAAGAATCCATTCTGAAGCTCAACCACACTAGTAGGGTCAGGTACGTATGTTCCATATACCTTCCTTAAATTTGTTACACTCCTATTCCCCTACTTTCCTTAGGGATAGATCAACTGGCTGTGAAGGGTAGTGGTGCTGGCCTTAATCTAATTTAATGGTTATTCTGTCCCGTTATTCTGTCCCGCGAGGCCAACTCTCATCCTCAAACGGAGGTAATCGCCCATTGACCCAACTCATAGTTAGAGCCTCGCTTCAACCTCTATAGGTTATTAGATAGGGCCTCACCTGTAATGGCCACTCGTATTGAAGCTTTTAATTCTCATCGAGAGGTCAACATTCCTGCCACTCCATTCGGTGGCCTCAGTCCCTCAGCCAAGTTCATATCTAGAGCCTCTCAAAGCCACTTGGCATTTAGAGGGGCCCCACCTATCCCTGGTTAGCTAATTTCTTCACCATTTGGCACTAAGCAAGACGCCAGTTGATGTAGGATTAAACTCTCATAACACGGCTGTTAAAAATTACACGTTAATTATTACCTCATACTACGGCTCATAACTATGTGCAAGCAGAATTTTCACCCCTGAGTCCCGCAACAAACCCTCCACCCCTGGCAGATCATACACTCAACACAGAAACAGGATTCCGCTAGGCCTGTCTCCTGCGATCCTGGACCAGTCCAATTGCTGATGCCCAGACATAAGGTATATCCTTCCCTGTCACAACTCAGGAGCAGGGTTCATGATTACCAACACAGAAATTTGTAGACAGCATAGCAAATTGCAAACCGTGAAATCAGACATCTGTTCACCCCTTTATACGATTTACGTTAAACTAAAGAAGTCAAAGTCTAGCCAGTAGTTTGAAATAGGGGCCATAGACCATACTTCTGTACATGCCCAAATTTGTTCTGGCCTTTGGTCTATATGAATATGCTATCTCATATGTGCTAAACGTCTGTAGGGACGAATGGACCTCTGTTACAAGACCTATTATGTTCCAGGGTTAGGCATACAGCTCTCACAATACGATGGTATTGCAATATTGCTTATGGATTACACCACATCTGCTCAATGTTTCTCTGCTACACCAAACCATGAACTCTATTCTCCTTTTCACAGCCCATGACTTTTAGAAGTTAACTTCGACAACTGGACTTTACCTCTATTACTCACCCTCCCCTTTCACTAGTCGACTTATACTTAAGTTCAAAGTACCATTTACTGTGCCCCGAAGCACGCAAATACAAATGGCCCTACTTTCTTCCCTGAGAAGTCTAAGTATCCCTAGCTTTACGTAGCCTCCTCCAGCAGTCTAATTTGCTGTTATAACTGGACTCAGTCGAACAAAGTACTGCCAAACCATAGGCAGGGTCCTGTGTATCAGGCAGCACAAAGACAGTCTCTGGCGAATGCCCGTTATCATAGGTATCTTTAGCCTCCTTGGTTCTCTGAACCTTGTCATGCGTGCCATGCTGTAAGGTCACAACTACATTATCGGACTACTTCACCAACTCCCTTGGTCATCTACCTACATTAACCCTGCCATGCTCATCACGCCTGTTCTAACAGACCTGTCCAATTGGTCAAAATTTCTTTCTTATAGTAACAGGATGCCACGTCCATTTCCCACAGTCTGGTGATTCCCCCTATGTATTGCTATATACTTTGGGCTCTTTGTAAGTATACCCCACATAGCCACTGTTTGCCAGGGATCTCTACGGAGTGAGTATCTGTCAAATACTACCCGGACAACACAGCAGGTTGTGAAGTTCATCAGGGTTGGTTCTCTCTACTCAGTTGCACAGTTACTTTCAAAGTTCACTGGCTTGCAACACAGCAACTCTATCTTGTCCGCACACATATACAGGCTACCTTTCATGGTAGCTGTTGTTTTGACTCGATCCCACTTGCTGACATGATACTAAGCACACCATTCACTACCAAACGACCTACAATACTCCAAAACAATTAGAATAATACTACATTAGGTCATATTACGGCCTTGTCCTGTTGGTGGCACACCTGACTCTCTGCCAATATCTGCCATTCAAATAACAGAGCTCTGGCCACTATCGACATGGGGAACTTCGACCTATCATTTGTCATCACGTATTCTAGCATACCTTGGTGGTGTTCATATCATTTTTTGCCACCTCATACTTAAATTAGCTCACAAATATCACAAACGTATGTCATACCACCTACATAGATAACCTCATGCCAATCAGCATGGTTACAGGTCTACATACTAGACCAATTATATGACACTCACATGACTATATGCCTGTCTTAAGATCACACTAAATACACTCACAGCTTTAAATTGCATTACATACGTCAAGACTTTTCCGTAACTCGTACACCACTGTTCAACATTTTGTAAGTCAGTCTCATAGTAGGGAACTACTTTCAAGCCTTTAGTAATACCCATTACACATAATCAAACACTGGGAATCCACTATAACATCTCTCAATAGAGATTTGATTAAGGCGTTTAACGTAATGGTTATGTATCATCAACACATGTGTTTATCCATCCATTTTTTTGCACTCTTTACAGGCCTACCCAAATGTCGGTCCTGGCACACCTCAACCCACTTGTACCACATCCTACTTATTCCAACAATACTATTACTCGGCTTATTGTCCCCGACTACAAATAGAAAGGTGTAGTCTGTAATTGTGGGAGGGGTTACCCGGCCATAAAAACAAGGGCCACCCCTCTCACTGGACTGTTAACGCCGGGTTCAGCCCACCCACCACTCCACTTTTACAAACCATTCATTTGGTGGGCCCTCTTTATTTACAGGCCTACCCGAACGTTGTTCCCGGCACACCTCAACCGACTTGTACCACTTCCTACTTATTCCAACAATACTATTACTCGGCTTATTGTCCCTAACTACAAGTATAACATGTGTATCTCATGTGTCCTTTGTAAAACATCCATTAAAAGAAAATATGGATATAGCATTTGTGCATTACTCAACCTACCCTTTGTGTAAGGTATAATTTTACATATTTTTCCCTTTACTATTGTAGGAATAAAAAATAAATAAAAAAAAAGCAAAATTCCGACTTAAATAGCAAATATATTTATTTTACTGAATTGGAAAATATTGCCAAATTCACGATTTTGTCTCTAATTATGCAATTTCGTTTGCAATAAGCAACAATTCGGTATTTATTGAATTAACTAATTTGGGTTTGGTTTGCTTCAAAAACTTTCAATGTCCTTCTATTTATTTTTCTGCATACCATTCTCACTTTGGAAGCAAACCCGTTTGACAGTGAGGTCGTTGAGAAGAAATTCATGTTCATCATCTTCTGCTTTCACCTCACTGAGTTGGTCTTCAAGCACACATTTTTAAGGTTGGCCTAGAAGAATAATTTGTAATATTATAGCTTGCACAATTATAGATCAGTAAAAATAAAAGTGTTCCTTATTTACTACTTACTTACTTGATTTGGAGATATTTTCAAGATTGTTGGCAAGAACATCAATCTCCATTTTCAGCTCATTCTTTTCTTTCTCTAGCTTCTGCTTAACACTTTGTAGGTTATCAATTTGTTCCCCAAGTTCAGCAACACTGTCGGCATGCTTCTTGTGCAAGGCAGAGGACGTAGCTTCATTCTGAAGGGTAGCTTCCTCCAAGTCACGTCTCAGTTTATGGAACTCAGCTTCATGCTTCTTGTTCAGCTCAATTTGAGGAGAGGTAGCACCTCCGGCCTCTTCAGGTCTCTCACTGAGCTCTTCACCTTCTCTGGAGATATCAGCCCTCTTTTTCTCAACCTTGGCACCAGCTGCATGTTCTGCCTCAATTTCCTCCTCAAGTTCTTCAATACGAGCCTAGAACAGCAAAAAAAATTCATGGAAAATACAATGTAGCTCATAGCACTAAGAAACTGACTTGGACAAACATACCTGAAGTTCCTTGATCTTCTTCTGCAACTGAGATCCCAGGGACTGCTCATCTTCTATCTTCGATTGAAGTTGGCTAATTTCAAAATCCTTCCTGTATGTTAACAATAGTAAATTAAATGAAATTAGTGAAACAGCTCTAGGCAAATATGTCTTGAAACAAAAAAAAGCATAATTATAAACGAAAAAGACCAACGTCTTGAGTTTTTCCTCAGTTTGCTGCTTGTCATTTTCAAGATCCATGACAGTTCCCTGGGAAAGCTTTAGGTCACCCTCAAGCTTCCTCTTGGCTCTCTCCAGATCAAGATGGAGTTTCTTTTCTTGTTCTAGAGATCCTTCAAGCTATATGGAGATAAAAATCATGTTGTATTACAATGGTTAAAAGGACATAGTGAGACAATGTTTTAGAAAATGATGCAAGAAGTAGCATTTCCACATGTACTTACATCATCTATTTGCTGTTCTAGCTTAGTCTTGGCTTTTGTTAAAGTGTTGACTTTGTCCTCTTCAGCCTGCAGGTCATCAAGTGTTTGCTGGTGAGAATCTTGAAGGGCTTTCTTGCTAACTTTGGACACATTCTCATCAAGGACTGCAAGTTCCTCAGTGAGGTTTTTAACCTAATGTAAAGTAGAAAATTAGAATCAGGAGACATAATCTTATAAAGCATTAAGAAGGAAGAACATTACTTTCATTAGTCGGTCATACCTTGTTTTCAGTAGCATGTTTTTCCTTTTCTACATTCGCCAGTGTAAGCTCATCATCAATATCTTTATTCAGCTCAGAACATTCATTCTCCAGCATTGTCTTCTTGGCAGTAAGTTCAGCAATTGCTTTCCTGTTCATCTTCAAGTCTCTCTGTGAGCTCCTTGATTTTAGATTCCAGTTAGATTTTGTTCTTGATGAGGCCTTCACATCTTTCCTCTGCATCAGCCTTTCACCTTCCTGTTTTGAAAATATAATGTATTTTAAAATATTTGAATTTAACTTTTGTCTAGACGTACTCCATTTATATTTGTATCTTCTTACCGACTGAACTTGCAGGAGCAAATCAGTCTTCTCCTGAAGCAGGGCAACCATTTTCTCTTCCAGTTCTTTCCTTTTGGCTTCTGACTTTTCCAATGCTTCCTTGTTCTTCTTGAACTCTTTCTTCATGTTTGCCATCTCCTTCTCAGTCTCAGCACTCTTCAGGAGAGGTTTGATCTTGATCCAAAAGCACTGTTTGTAATTCATGAATGACCTGAGGTTGTACTGGATGACGAAGATTGCTTCCCTGTGAAGTAGATTTTCAGAAGATACATTTTTATTCTAAGAGAAAGTTCTTCATTAACACTTTTTTGAGATCATTACATAAACAATACCGTCTCTCAATCATCTTCTTGAACTCGGTTCTCATCAAGAAATCTCTGCAAAGAGCTTGAGTTCGAGTAATAAGTTGTGCCGTCTTTTCATCTCTCTTCTCTTCCAGGGTACCCAAAAGACCAGCTTTGAAGAACACCTACAAAGGAAAGAAAACCATTATAATAATCTCTAAAATGTCATTGTATATATATATATATATATATATATATATATATATACACATATATATATAAGTTGGTCTGCAATGTTCCAGTCTCTTCATACCTTGGTGTGGCCAAATTTATACTGAGTGTGATAAACATCAATGGAGCCCAGAAGTTTCTCAGAAGCCTTCTTGCTGTTAATAAACTGCCCGTCTGGAATAGAGCTGGCATTCAACACTTTGTAACTTAATAAACGTTAAAAAACAAACAAAATTGAAGGCAAATGTTGCATTTAATCAAAATGTTTTTTAGCACATGTGTAAAACAATTATTTATTCAATTACTCTTTTTGTTAACTTAAAGTATACAACGAGAAATACCATTGTCACCATAGAGGATTCTGCTTGGAGATCCTTTTCTGCAAATTCTAATAACCTCCAATACACTGTTACATCTCAACTTAGAAACATAGAAACATAGAATGTGACGGCAGATAAGAACCATTTGGCCCATCTAGTCTGCCCAATTTTCTAAATACTTTCGTTAGTCCCTGGCCTTATCTTATAGTTAGGATAGCCTTATGCCTATCCCACGCATGCTTAAACTCCTTTACTGTGTTAACCTCTACCACTTCAGCTGGAAGGCTATTCCATGCATCCACTACCCTCTCAGTAAAGTAATACTTCCTGATATTATTTTTAAACCTTTGTCCCTCTAATTTAAGACTATGTCCTCTTGTTGTGGTAGTTTTTCTTCTTTTAAATATAGTCTCCTCCTTTACTGTGTTGATTCCCTTTATATATTTAAATGTTTCTATCATATCCCCCCTGTCTCGTCTTTCCTCCAAGCTATACATGTTAAGATCCTTTAACCTTTCCTGGTAAGTTTTATCCCGCAATCCATGAACCAGTTTAGTAGCCCTTCTCTGAACCCTCTCTAAGGTATCAATATCCTTCTGAAGATACGGTCTCCAGTACTCTGTACAATACTCCAAGTGAGGTCTCACCAGTGTTCTGTACTTGTTGATGATCAGATGGTTGTTCATGGTAGCTGAGGGAGTGGAAAATTGGTCATGGCTTGAGGTGTACAACATCCTGACAGTGAAATACACTCTTATTACCTAAATATATATTCAGAATGGAATTTAACCAGGAGTTTTGACTCATTTGTAATCAAACAACGCACAAGTTTAAACCCAACAAATATGTGACTTTATCAGCAACTGCAAGTTGACAATACAAATAATTGTATGCATATATTGGACACCAGTTTTATCAATGTAAGCAGAGATAAGGTTTCTAAATAATATCAGTATCAGTTGTATGAGATTCTTTCACTGAATACTGAAGACAAACCTTCAGTGCCTTCAGGCTCGGCCTGCTCCTCTCTCTGTTTTTGCTTGAACTTCATGTTGCTATGGTGCATGAGAGCTCCTGTAAGTTTGTAGATGCCAATCGTTTCTTCTCCACTGAAACCCAGGACATCAATGGAACTCTGTAGGAGTAGAAAGACAGTTTGAGATTGAAACCAGCATTTAGAAACAGTTAGAATTCTGCTGATCTTCTCTACAACTTCAGAACTTACATCAGTGGCCAATAATTCCTCTTCATCATCAATACTCTTCACAACAATCTCTCCCTGGCTGATGGAAGGATAGTCATAAGGGTTGGTTGTGACCAGAAGTGTTTCTAGAGAAAAAGACATGTTGCATATTACTAAAAATAAAACATTATACATTCTTGTTCTATTTGGAACAGTATGATTTTTAATATTCAGAAAACAATATGGATGCTGGTAGATTGGCATGGACATTACATAACGCTGCTTCAACTTTTTTTCTGAACAAAATCGCCTTGTGTTTAATGACCCTGAGAAGTAAACAGGAGAAATCCTTATCCACAGTTTTCATTCACGAGATATATTTGTAGAGATTTAGACCCAAGTGATTTTTACAGTCTGAGATACTCAAACTCACAGAGCTTCAAATGCATATGCAAACAACGCAATTGTTTGTGCATAAACATCACAAGCAACCCAGAGTGTTTGCCAGCCAGAAACAATGTTTAATGTCTAACAGAAAACTCAGAGAATTCCGTCTTTCAAATTAATAAACAAGAATGAAATATAAATATTAGAACTTGCTTATATATACTGAAACCATACATGATTTTCATATGTACCCTAAAATATCTGATTACTATAGTAATGTGTAAACGATATCCTTGGTTAGTATAGGGGTAAAAGGCATCATATATTTCTACTAATGTCATTTGATTTTTACATAGGTGAATATATTAATTATTCATACAGCTTAGGTGGATAAATGATATACACACACACACATATGTATGTATATATGTAGAAACAACCTGTCTTTGGTTAAAGAATATATATAACCAAGGAAGGTTGTTTAAAATGAGTCTAAGTAGAGTTGAGCGAACCTGGACTGTAAAGTTTGGGTTCGTACCGAACATTACGTTTTTTGGACCCCAGACCCGAACACGGACACATCACTGTATGACTGTACTTGGGTTGGAGTTTGGTGTTCGGCGATTTAATGGCGCGTTTTCAAAGGCTGAAGGGCAGCCAATCAACAAGCGTTTGACTTGTGTGCCCTTAGAAGCCATCACAGCCATGCCTACTAATGGCATGGCTGTGATTGGCCAGTGCAGCATGTGACCCAGCCTCTATATATAAGCTGGAGTCGCGTAGCGCCGAACGCACATGAGCTCTTATTAGTGTAGGAAGAGGATGCTGCCGCTTTTAGGGACAGATTAGGAAAGAATTCTGCAAACTAGTACATTAGTGGGGTTCACTTCATATCTGAGAGTCAAACAGAAGCGTCAAATACCGCGGTTACATCAGAGTTTTAAAAAGTCAATTTTTTTTGGGTGCTAAATAGTACATTAGTGGGGTGCACTTCAAATCTTAGAGTCAAATAGAAGCGTCAAATACTGCGCTTACAGCGCAGTTGTAAACATACTTATTTTTTGGGTGCAAATTTGCTAAGTATTACAATTTGGGCATGCTCTTCATATCTGAGAGTCAAATAGAAGCGTCTAATAGTGCGCTTATAGCGCAGTTGTAAACATTCTAAATGTTTTGCTGCTAATCTGCTAAATAGTACATTTTGGGGCCTGCTCTTCATATCTGAGAGTCAAATAGAAGCGTCAAATACTGCGCTTACAGCGCAGTTGTAAACATTCTAATTGTTTTGCTGCTACTCTGCTAAATAGTACATTTTGGGGCTTGCTCTTCATATCTGAGAGTCAAATCGAAGCGTCTAATAGTGCGCTTACAGCGCAGTTGTAAACATTCTAATTGTTTTGCTGCTAATCTGCTAAATAGTACATTTTGGGGCCTGCTCTTCATATCTGAGAGTCAAATAAAAGCGTCTAAATACTTACAGCTCAGTTGTAAACATACTAATTGTTTTGCTGCTATCTGCTAATAGTACATTTTTGGGGCTTGCTCTTCATATCTGAGAGTCAAATCGAAGCGTCTAATAGTGCGCTTACAGCGCAGTTGTAAAAATTCTAATTGTTTTGCTGCTAATCTGCTAAATAGTACATTTTAGCTCTTCATACATTTCAAATGGGTTGTAAACATTCTGCTGCTACTCAGGCTTGCTCTTATCTGAGAGTCAAATCGAAGCGTCTAATAGTGCGCTTACAGCGCAGTTGTAAACATATTGTTTTGTTGCTAATCTGCTAAATAGTAAATTTTGGGGCCTGCTCTTCATATCTGAGAGTCAAATAAAAGCGTCTAATAGTGCGCTTACAGCGTTGTAAACATACTAATTGTTTTGCGTGCTAATCTGCTAAATAGTACATTTTGGGGCCTACTTTTCATATCTGAGAGTCAAATCGAAGCGTCTAATAGTGCGCTTACAGCGCAGTTGTAAAAATTCCAATTTTCTGGGTGCTAATCTGCTAAACAGTACATTTTGGGGCCTGCTCTTCATATCTGAGAGTCAAAGAGAAGCGTCTAATAGTGCGCTTACAGCACAGTTGTAAACATTCTAAATGTTTTGCTGCTAATCTGCTAAATAGTACATTTTGGGGCCTGCTCTTCATATCTGAGAGTCAAATAGAAGCGTCTAATAGTGCCCTTACAGCGCAGTTGTAAACATTCCTATTTTCTGGGTGCTAATCTGCTAAATAGTACATTTTGGGGCCTGCTCTTCATATCTGAGGGTCAAATCGAAGAGTCTAATAGTGTGCTTACAGTCCAGTTGTAAACATTCTAATTGTTTTGCTGCTAATCTGCTAAATAGTACATTTTGGGGCCTGCTCTTCATATCTGAGAGTCAAATCGAAGCTTACAGCGCAGTTGTAAACATTCTAATTTTCTTGGTGCTAAATAGTACATTTGGGCTGTGCACTGCATATCTGGTGTTTGTATGCAACACTGGCTAGTTACTGATTCTCAAGAAAGTCTAAAGACAAATAAATGTTGCCTATGGTGCAGGTAGTATAGAAGGCAAGACTGAGACAAATCATTCGGGTTACATTTGCCTGTTGACATGTTAATTATCTTAGACCATTAAAATTCGATAATCAATGAAAAAACACACTGTGTCATACAAAAACATCTATTATAGACAAGTTAAAAGCAAGACTACAAGTCATGCTATAACAAAATTAAACAAGTTTTAAAATATGTATGGGCCAACCAGTGGCTGTAAAAACAAAGTTTTACTGGTTACATTCATGACTACACATTCTAGTAAACAGTACCTTCATGTAGTGTGTTCTTTTTAAAAAAAATCATACAGCATCTTTTCATGTGCTTTTCAGATGTCGTATTGTTAATTACCAATTTTTGTTTAGCCTGATTTTTTTTTTTAAAAAAGTGAAAAATAAGTGTTACTGTGATCGCTTCATATACAGAATCATTAATATACATTTCTATATTGTGTAAAGACACAACTACAAAGTTAAAAACCAAACACCAAAACAACGTGCCAGACAATCTACCTGTGCATGGCTAGTGTGATACAATAAGTCTACATCTTAAAAATGCAATAACCCACAGAAGATGGGCAAGATTTTTTTTTGCAAATGGAACTTTGATTCAAATTTACTACATCGGTCAATTGTAATATTGTTTCACGCCTACAACAATTGTTAAACAGATCTAAGTGATAGAAAACAGATTGATATTTTCTACACTAGAAACTACCAGATAACAAGCTGCTATATTCAAACCAGTTATCAATAGCTAAGAGGTACTTAAACAATATTGTAATTCTGGGGCAATACCCTCACAAGTCAAACTGAGAGGTCAGTTTATAGGGAAAACTGTTGCCTGGATACAATTCTAAAACAATTTCCATATGTCCTTTGCAGACTTTACATGCTGGAAAAACACAGGTGCCAACTGCTGTGGCTTTCTGCAGTGTGCATACTGGCAAGGAGGGCAGGGTTGAGGAGTGGGTGGAAGATGATGTGGAGGATGATGAGCTCCTAGACCCCACATGGAATCAAGGTCATGTGAGTGATGTGTACAGTTTGGAGGAAGAGGCGCTGGTCGCACCGAGGCACCAGCACAGCATAAGAGGGAGCAGGGTGCAAAAGCGGAGCAGCCGTTCCCTAGCGCTCGCCGGCATGTATTATCTTTAGAATTCCCACAGTTATCCAAGTAACAGTTGAAGTGATAAAAAGAACCATAACAGATTTAACGAGCCATTCGCAGTTTCGCAGTCCAGTGACCGGACCCAGACACTGTCTGGGCGGCAGTCGGACGACCAGGACCCAGTATGCCTGATGTAGAAGTTAGGAGTCACAGTGTGGAATGGATTAGCAGGGTCTGGTGCAGGGTAACCGCACGCCCTCTGACCGAACCGAACCGAAAATTTTCCCCATGCACATGCCTACTAAAAAACATGTTGAAAATATTTTGTCCCTTGTTCTGCATCATCAAATGAGTGTATTTGGTATGGAAGATGTGGAGGTTTTTTTTAAATCTGTTTTCAACTTAACAAACTATATAATTATAAATACAAGTCTAACAAGTAAGTGGTTTCTCAATAGCATTATACCACTGGATAGAGAGGACTGTACAGCACATGAGATATGCTTTGATCCTTTTGATCCTTTAACTATGCACTAGTAATCCCAATAGCTGTGTTACCTTCAAGCTGTTAGCTGGGCCCTTTTTCTTGCCTTGGTCTCCAATAGCGGCAATTGTTGCAAAATACTGGAATTCTCAGATTCTCCACTGTGGATAAAGAAGGTTAAAATATAGTGCGTCTAGAAATGCTGAAGAAATAGCTAGAACTTGAAAGATACAATGACAATAAATACTTACGTAATCAGGACAGACTGATTTTCACGATCTGCAAACAGGAGATGGGGATTAATAAATAAAATTCATAGTATTATGTGTTGAGAAAATAAGTCTGTTACAAAGAGAAAAAGGCCACTTACCTGTCAACATGAACTGATAAGCGTTATCAGAGATGGAGAAGATGTGAGGTGGGGCTTCCATACGTTTCTTCCCTCTGTAACCAGCAACCACCTCAGGGTTGATCACTGGGAGCCACTTGTAGGGGTTCACAGTGATGCAGAAAAGACCAGAGTAGGTCTAAACGGACAACAAAACAAATAGCATCAATGTATATTTCAGGGGAACTACTAAAGATTAGGCATCTTTTCACAATCAGGCGTCCGTAACTATTTTACTCTGAAGCTGATAAATCACTTTAATATGTCCTAAAGGGAACCAAGTATGTTTACTTTAGTAATTTGAGGCCTATTTCTGGATTTAACTATACACAACAAATGGCAAATAAATTAGAATTTTTATTTATTTAAATGTTTGATGATGATGTAAAGTTGTATCGTTGTGATATATCTATGTCACTCTTGTTTTGTTATTTCTCTTCCATTGATTATGTAGGGGGTGCACACTATCTAATCTCACTCAAATTGTTTGGTATTTCTACGCATGATCAATACTGTCAAACACTTCTAAACTATGGAGAAAGAGTCCAAATTACGTAGATCATCCATGCTGCATAACGTTCGTTGAGGTTATACAATACAGCGGCTTCATTCAGATGGGTCATCATGGCCATGTCTTCAATTTTGTCATACTTAGGGGGGATTTTGGGGGTGAATTTGACTGTCTTTTACAGTTACAGTTTAGAAGAAAAAGAGACATATTTCAGTTTAGGTCACAATTCATAATAATTAACTGCTGGTATGTTAAATACTAGAATTTTAGATTTACCCTTTACCTTTGACGTACAGCTCTTTTTGGTCATCCATGAAGCAGGTGTTCTTGGCATCAAATTTTTTGGCTTCCAATTGTTCTTTCTCAGATTTCCGGAGATACTGTGCAGCCTCTCTGGAACAGGCCATTTCCCCCTCACCCATGCTTGCTGGTGTAGTTACCTACAAGAAGAAATTTGGGCTATCTAGGATTTTGATTGTAGAAAAAAGAATAATAAACAAAAATTTTGTTTTTAAATTAATTTCTCTGTGATATTTAAAGCAGTAATTTTCCGAACCCATGAATCAATTCTAGAATATTTCAGAATTAGTTTCAGAATTAGTTAAAATAAAGAGAAATCTTATGTGCTTTTGAAGAATTGACTATGGTGTTGCAACTTCTTTGTCAACAATGCCAAAGTGAAAAAAACAACCAATTTAAAGAATTATTCCAGTGCAATTATTTTAACCTAAAATGTATAATTAGGGATTATTGTAGCTTTAGTGACCGAATTATCTAAATTTGATTAAAGACAGGAGACTTCATATTTGCTTAACCTTCTTTACTGTAAACATTCCATCAGCAAAGAAACAGTATAAAGTGTAAAACAGAATCAACCAATCAGAATGCATATATCTGTAACTTATTGCTGAAACTCCACCCACTTCCTCTTTCTTTGCCGCTTGCCTTCCAGGAGACTCTATTCTAATTAAATTGCCTTCAGGTTTTTACTTAAAATACCTTTTAACTTATTATAGTTGCCATTAAATATATCTTTTTTTATTTGTTACATATTTCTTTGACTTCTATTCCTGCCTTGCTTGTCTAAGGGATTTGCTTTGCTACCCTTTCGCTTTAAATAGGTCCTGCCCATTTCTCCTGCCTTTTTTCTCACCTCAGTACCCTGCAATTTCATGCTTAAAGGGATTCTGTAGTGTTACAAAAATACAAAATTAGACAACTAAGTCAAACTGAAAGGTTCCTATAAACAAAGATTGTTTAAAAAAGAAAAAAGTAAACTTTAATTTGAATTAATAAGCTGGAAAATCAGGGAGGGGACGGAGCTAGCAGCCGAACAAAGCAGATGTGTTGCTTCTAGCTCTCTGCTGCATGAAAGGAAAACAGCGGTTTTGGAGAGGTACTTGGGAACAAACCTAGCTGAAATAGCCCTCTCACGACGCAGAGAAACATCACGGCTGGGAGAACAAAAAAAAACAAGACAGACAAAGTCCCTACCTACCACGATATCGGAGAGCTGCTGCGGAGTTCACAGAGGCCTCCATGGGACAAAATGGCGCTGAGCGAGGACGGGTTGTCCTCCTCTGAGGATTTGGCAATTGACCTGTGAGAAGGGGCCATGTGCAAGCCATCCACTAAACCCAAACTTCAACAACAAAGGGACAACCAGTCACCTCTGTCCAGCTGCAGAGCATGCTTGCAGAGCATGCTTGCAGAGCTCCGGGCTAACATAGTGACAGACATGACAGGTATTAATTGAAATTGCAGGCATCGCCTCTTGGATCACCTCACTAGAGGCCACCTTGAGCATGCAAGAATCCAGGATTACCGCCATGTAGCTCAAGCTGGATGTAATACAGCGACAACAATTAGCCACCAGCGATAAGATGGAGGCCTTTGAGGATCAAAGGAGGTGATAAAACATAAAAATACGCGGTATCCTGGATTCTGTAGGCCTCACAGACTTGCCACACTTTGTTCGACACCTGTTCCACGAACTGTTACCACCTAAACAGGCTAAAGCTGTAAGACTGGACGGTCTGTTCAGATTGCCGAAGCCGAGGACGACACCGACGACCGCTCAGGAAGACCTCGTAGACCACTTCCAATCGTTACATGATAAAACATTCCTGATGGCGGCCACCAGAGGAAAAACTCCCCTACAATTTGCGGGGTCAACACTAATGCTATTCCCAGGCCTCCACAGAGGCACCAATGAATGGCGCAGGGCCCTGCGACCACTATTGCTACAGTTCCACAACAAAGGAGTACCATACCGCTGAGGGACACCAGAACTGCTTACATTTCAATATCAGGACAGTGCCTACCGAGCATGCAACTTTATGGAACTGGAATCACACTTACACGAGCTGGGCATTGCTGAGCCTCCTCAAGCGGCATCCTCAAGCCTGTCTCGAATGGACCCATCCCCGGTTGTGCAACCAGCACACCTGTTAATGTAACTATAAACAGTATATAATTCTAATGTATCTGTTTTCCTCCTCTGGAAATGTACCACAACCCATCTTTCCCTAGCATAGAAGAGTAATAGAAAACATGTTTATTAATAGTGTAATATTTTATTAGAGAATTGCTGTTTTTTTGTTCCCTCTGTAGAGTCCTCCCTGTCCAATGTATATGAGAGTACAGGGATCTTTTCCCATGAGAAAAGGAGTACTTAATCTTTTCCCCTGAGTACTAAAGTTTACTGCAATCTTCTGTTCAGGTATATTTGAGTATAATCCTTTCCCCTAGGTGTACTGGAGAACTGGAACATTTTTTTCCATTACCTAAGATACTGCAAATTGTGTTTATTGTTGCCAGATGCATTGGGAAACTTGACTCTATGTGTTGAAAAGTACTGGGATTATTTTTCCCCAATATGGAATAGTACCAAAACTTTTTGATTTGGTATTAAAGACTACTAGAACAATTTTCCTTAAAGAATATTATGTAAAAAATTTTACCCTGATTTAGGAGAGTATTTTTGCTTTTTATCCGAGTCTAAAAATATTTTTGCAAACTTTGTAGTAACAGATCTGTTTCTGGTATAGCAGAACACAATATCTGTTTCCTACATTTTTTTCCAAATTTTTCCATTTTTTCCCCCATGGTTGAAGAGAGTCCTGGAATCTCTCTACATGTTCTGGGACAGCAAAGTGAATTGCTAGACCTCACCTAATAAGCTTGCCTCAACATTATCACGTGAGTTTATACTTTAATGGCCATTTCAAGTGATGCCAGGAATCTGTTATTTTAATGTATATAGGAATTTGTGATAGGGCACAGGTAACTTTGTCGACATGTTTTGGATAATAAATACTATAACCATTGCTACCATCCAAGAGAATTGTGAATTTTAGCGTGGGGCTAATTTCTACAACCTTACGCACATTCTACTTGCATTACGTTGCTCGCTATCTGTGCATTTATATGTTGCATTGATAATTCCGTTCATTAAAATCTTAAATTTCAAAAAAGTTCAATTTCTGGCTTAGTAAATAGCCTCTATAGTTAAAGTACATTTCCTTTTCTATTTAGCTCTTCATTCATATAAATTGGCATAAATCTGTCTACTACAGCTTGTAACAGCCTGAGATTGTATTCTATTATACACATCAGTGTACTAGACACTTGACAAGTGAATTTCTTAGTCAGGGATATTTTAGATGCTTGAAGTCAACATAGATCAATGGATTTGGCCCCTGAGAATTGTGGGGACAAGTGTTAAATTACGTAAGTGAAGGAGTGACTGAAATCTTAGCTGCTCAGAGATTGGATATCACTTAATTTAACTCTGTTACATAACTGGTGGTCATATAATTCTACAAGCTAGCCATTGAATTAGAAATCGTTTAACAATGGGAGATATTTTTATGTGTTTTCTCTTTTATAAAATAAAAAAACACCTGTTGCTTTTTTTTCTTTTTAAAAAAAAACAAAACTGGAAGGGTACTGGGGTCACACCTGAGTGTGAAAAAGTCGGCGTGTCAGAGATCTGATTGTACGCAATTTTCACAATCCTTAAATATTTAGGACTTGCCAACTGGCCATCCATCTGTGGTTTGTCAACAACTCTTATCATTCCCAGCCTGTACTTTATTTGTATTGTAAAGGATTTTTAAAAAAACCCAACATATTTGTCTTAGTTAAAAATCATAGGTAGGAAATGTCATCTAATTATAGAAGCAGTATGCTAAATTAAGAACTTTACAGAATTAAATCTTTTTTTTCACTTCATGAACTAAATTATAAAAACTCCAATCATCACCAGCTATTTTCGGGGTTCTCGTTTGCTACTTTGACCTATTTTGACCTTAAATTTGAAATTTTGAAACTTTTTTGAATTATGGTTATTTACCAAAGTGTGAATTGTTTGGAATTCTTTAGTTACATAGTAAACAGCGCTACGGAATCTGATGGCGCTATATAAATAATAAAATAATAATAATCTAGGACTCAAGTCCATTTAGGTCAACCTTTAAAACAAATCTTTGTATACTGATGACTAAAAAACGGGGAAATCCATCTTAACTCTATCATGGCAAGCATATTTCTCTTTGGATCAACCTATTCACATACATGTTATTTATATCTTTTAATATTCTATTTAAAAAAATTGGGGGGGAACCACAATATTCCCAAACGTTTATCTCAATATAAAAAAAGGTCTCTGACATAGCTTTGTTGCTGCATATAATTTAGAGTGATATTCTGAGACTCCGAACAGCTGAAAGAAGCAGTACAACATACATCCGTGTTCTTTAAACGTTAACTGACCTTTAATTATTAATTTACATTCATACTAAGAGTCTTAAATGTACATTCCAGGCATGTCTGAATGTAATAGCCCTATCACCCATGTTGGGATGCTATTCTATATATTCACTATACTTGATTATGTTTTGTCAGCATAAATTGTCAGTAATTCAAAGTGAATATCATATGCAATCCCAGAACTCCAAGCATGGATGACATTGTGAATCTTTCCAATTTTTCTGGCCTACAATTTAAAATGCACTTTGAATTTATTTTAAACACGTGAATTGTTGTGATAGTGAAGTTGAAAGACAGTGTTTAAGTTCTAATCGTCATACAGGGATGTATACTACAATGAAAAAATAATTGATGCTTAAATATTAGGACAATAGAAAAAATGTCAGATTGAGACACCGATGAACAAAGAGGAACTGTCAAAATAGGCATTGCAAGTTAGGATTGGCTGAATTATCCTACACAGAATATGTTTGTGTCGATGTCACTTTGGGGGGAGAGGAGGATGCATGATGACGTAGAAGAATGCTACATTTAGCTCAAATGTTGCCGGGTGCTAATGACGCCTCAAAGCACGGAATATAGGTACCATAGAGGGAAATCACCTCAAAATTAGAGGTAACCCTGAAAACATTATATCCCCTAAACTAGAAGACTATTGTAAAGATCTCTTTAAATTATGTGTTTATCTATAAACAGTGATGTTAATAGTACTGAAAGATGACACAGTGTACTGAAACCTAGCAACGTTCCGAATCACTTCCCAAAATGCGTGATTATCTGTCTTCACTCGTTTTAAGTCGCAATTCATGCATTCCATTGCTACTAAAGATTTGAAGGATTCGCCTTACTAACAAATAAAAATCTACCAGGACGTCAGGACCTGTCTTCACAGACTAGACTTAGTAGGAAATCCTGCACTTCTACACTGAGAAAACAGGATATAAAGTACGCATGGGGCGTCCCCACACAAATAGATTTAACTTATGAGAACCAAAAATATACTTTTCATAAACCTCAGACGCTCAAACAATGGGCACAAAAAATCTTCTTAGTCTAAAGAAGAAAAGTGAAGTAAGACTGTAAGAGGAGTTTTTAAAGACTGAATCAGTTTCTGTGGGATTTTTAAAAAAGTTTTTGGGAGAACTAATACAGACATGCATGTATAAACTATTTCTTTGATGGACTAGACTTGTGAATTTAAATAAGTACCGCAGTTCCGATTCTTTCCTCACTAAAGGTACACAGCTTGAAGATATTTTGAGTGATAACTCGATTATGAGGATATACATATCCTCATTTATATATAAATTGATAGCAGGGTTTGGTCTTTTTGAGAAGTTGTAAGAAGAAATGAAAGAAAGAAGGGAAAAAAAGAAAGGAGAAAGTAAAGCAAATATAGAACTACTTGTCAATCAGGTGTTTATGTTTATTAGTAATTTTGTGTATTAAAAGTTGTACTGAGGCTTGACCAAGACGACCCTTTAAATCCTTAGCTTCGGTTCATTGAGCCGACAAAAGCAGGGAAATACCCTTCATATACTCTGCAGTTGCGTCACAAGAAGAAGGGGACACCCCCATCCACACCTCCATCAGCAGACGCACACTAGAATGGGCACACTGGGTAACTTCCTGTCTACTCCCGGTGAAATTGCAGACACTGCAGCCTCCGACCATGGAAATCCAGTCCTGCTTCCAGCAGCCTAGGGACCACTGAAATACGGGAACCCGTCCCCTCAAGTAATATGATCCAGCTCTGGGCCAACCTGCGGACCATCTACACCGTGATGTTCACAAAGTCCAATATCATGTATTGGCATGGGACAAGAAACCGGAAGGCAGATGCTTTATCTAGGATATTCGCTACTGAAAACAAGAGGAAAAACAATATTCACACCACATCACTTCTTGGGTGTCATGGCACATGTCTTGAAAGATATCCAAGCAACAGCTACTACATCCAATGTGCCTCTTTCACCAGAAGGGTTTTCTATGTCCCATGGGAAGATCTATGTGACAGAACCCCACCGTCTCAGTGTACTACATTTTCATGATGCACCTGTATCGAGCCATGGTGTGCAGAGGAAATCACTACAAGCCATCCAACAGCATTTCTAGTGGCCAACACTGATGAAAGCTTCTGTATTACATGTGCTAGATCAAAGACTATGACAACCTAAACAGCAGATCTTTTACAGCTGTTACCCATACTTTCCAGTCCCTGGAGTCATGCAACTGTCGACTTTATTGTAGACATCCAATTCCTATGGACACAATACAATCATGGTGCTTATAGACTGACTAACCAAGATGGCCCATTTCATCCCTGTGAAAAGCCTATCTATTGCTAAAAACACTGCCCCTCTTTTCCTAGACCACATTTTTAAGCTGGTCCCTGAATATATCCTCTCGGACCGAGGTGCTCACTTTACATCCCATTTCTGAAAGGCCTTCTGTCAGTCTCTGAACATATATGATCTCTTAACTGCCTTTCATCCTCACACCAATGGGCAAACCTAGAGAACAAATCAGACTTTGGAGACCTATCTTCACTGCTACACTATCCACCTACAGTCCGACTGGAAAGATCTACTCACCACCACTGAATTTGTCTACAACTCCAGGATCCACGATTCTAATTCCAACCAACTTCACTTTCGGGATTGCCTACATATACCACAGTTACTGATGCTTCTGCTCTTGTAACACATTTGTCACAAAGTTTTCTCCATGCCCAGACAACGTTACAAGAAAGTAAAACTCTCTACAAATCATATGCCGCCTGCCGCATGTGTTCCTCCAGACAAGCCACTTCCTGAATGTGACTGCACAGAAGGAGGAGCCTCGGGGGAAATCCTATGAAGCGCCAAATCATGGCCTCTTAAAGAGACAGAGGAAGGAAATCAGAGAAGGGGGGTGAACCTCCAATGTGGACCTCCAATAAGTGGACCTGCCTCCGCTCCTTATTTAAACTCCACTAACCCTTGACTTTTTGTTATACTGTGCTCCTGTCATGTTAACTACCTTCAGTTCCTGTCATGTTTTGCTTCCTGGTATTACGACTCCTGCTTGACTCTGACCATGACTGCCTGTCCTGACCTCTGGTGTTCCTGACTACTCTTTATCTGACCCTTTTTTTTGTGCTGTGTTCCTGTTTGCTCCAGACCTTTTCTGCATCTTGGGCTTCATCTCCTAAACAGCGTCCTAACAACAGTTTACCGTTTGCTTAAACGTACAGTTGTGTTCAAAAGTTTGCATACCCTTGGAGAACTGGTAATATATGGACCATTTTTATAGAAAACATGAGTGAGCAGGCAAAACACATTTCTTTAATTTCTTATGGGATTAATATTCAACTGTAGGTTATAACAGAATGGCACAATCATAAAACAATACACAAGATCCAGCGCACTCACCTATCCACTAAACAGCAACTTCAATGTTGAAAGATTGTATTGTTTTTTTTAAAAACACCTAATCTAGGCAAAAATAATGGGGGTTTAGTTACATTATATGATCATACAGTGCATAAGCCTGCCACAACGTCAATGTACCCCATCTTTGGCAGGTCCTACACTAACAGTCTAATGTCTGCTCTTATGAGATTAACCTACTTGGGGAAAGAAATTCCATCTGGGGCTCTCTGCAGTACAAGGCTAAATAGGGCACTGGGATGAGGCACCTGTGACAGGGAGGGGTGCAAAACCAAGGAGTTGGCTAGACTCCCAAATATATATATAAAACAAGAGGGGGGTTGGCTGCACTCACCTTAACATGCATAAATGGGGGTGCTGCTGGGGGCCAAATAATACAATACACAAGATCCAGCGCACTCACCTATCCACTAAACAGCAACTTTAATGTTAACAGATTTTATTGTTTTTTTTAAAAAACACCTCTGGTGTTCCTGACTACTCTTTATCTGACCCTTTTTTTTTGTGCTCTGTTCCTGTTTGCTCCAGACCTTTTCTGCATCTTGGGCTTCATCTCCTAAACAGCGTCCTAACAACAGTTTACCGTTTGCTTAAACGTACAGTTGTGTTCAAAAGTTTGCATACCCTTGGAGAACTGGTAATATATGGACCATTTTTATAGAAAACATGAGTGAGCAGGCAAAACACATTTCTTTAATTTCTTATGGGATTAATATTCAACTGTAGGTTATAACAGAATGGCACAATCATAATACAATACACAAGATCCAGCGCACTCACCTATCCACTAAACAGCAACTTCAATGTTGAAAGATTTTATTGTTTTTTTTTAAAAACACCTAATCTAGGCAAAAATAATGGGGGTTTAGTTACATTATATGATCATACATTGCATAAGCCTGCCACAACGTCAATGTACCCCATCTTTGGCAGGTCCTACACTAACAGCCTAATATCTGCTCTTATGAGATTAACCTACTTGGGGAAAGAAATTCCATCTGGGGCTCTCTGCAGTACAAGGCTAAATAGGGCCCTGGGATGAGGCACCTGTGACAGGGATGGTGCAAAACCAAGGAGTTGGCTAGACTCCAAAATATATATAAAACAAGAGGGGGTTGGCTGCACTCACCTTAACATGCATAAATGGGGGTGCTGCTGGGGGCCAAATAATACAATACACAAGATCCAGCGCACTCACCTATCCACTAAACAGCAACTTTAATGTTAACAGATTTTATTGTTTTTTTAAAAAAACACCTCTGGTGTTCCTGACTACTCTTTATCTGACCCTTTTTTTTGTGCTGTGTTCCTGTTTGCTCCAGACCTTTTCTGCATCTTGGGATTCATCTCCTAAACAGCGTCCTAACAACAGTTTACCGTTTGCTTAAACGTACAGTTGTGTTCAAAAGTTTGCATACCCTTGGAGAACTGGTAATATATGGACCATTTTTAAAGAAAACATGAGTGAGCAGGCAAAACACATTTCTTTAATTTCTTATGGGATTAATATTCAACTGTAGGTTATAACAGAATGGCACAATCATAAAACAATACACAAGATCCAGCGCACTCACCTATCCACTAAACAGCAACTTCAATGTTGAAAGATTTTATTTGTTTTTTTAAAAACACCTGATCTAGGCAAAAATAATGGGGGTTTAGTTACATTATATGATCATACATTGCATAAGCCTGCCACAACGTCAATGTACCACATCTTTGGCAGGTCCTACACTAACAGCCTAATGTCTGCTCTTATGAGATTAACCTACTTGGGGAAAGAAATTCCATCTGGGGCTCTCTGCAGTACAAGGCTAAATAGGGCACTGGGATGAGGCACCTGTGACAGGGAGGGGTGCAAAACCAAGGAGTTGGCTAGACTCCCAAATATATATATAAAACAAGAGGGGGGTTGGCTGCACTCACCTTAACATGCATAAATGGGGGTGCTGCTGGGGGCCAAATAATACAATACACAAGATCCAGCGCACTCACCTATCCACTAAACAGCAACTTTAATGTTAACAGATTTTATTGTTTTTTTTAAAAAACACCTCTGGTGTTCCTGACTACTCTTTATCTGACCCTTTTTTTTGTGCTGTGTTCCTGTTTGCTCCAGACCTTTTCTGCATCTTGGGCTTCATCTCCTAAACAGCGTGCTAACAACAGTTTACCGTTTGCTTAAACGTACAGTTGTGTTCAAAAGTTTGCATACCCTTGAAGAACTGGTAATATATGGACCATTTTTATAGAAAACATGAGTGAGCAGGCAAAACACATTTCTTTAATTTCTTATGAGATTAATATTCAACTGTAGGTTATAACAGAATGGCACAATCATAATACAAACCATGGCAACAAAGAAAAAACTGAAATGAGTCCTGTTTAAATTGTGTCTCATCATGTTTTATGTTGTCAATTGTGGGCTCTGTTTGTTGCTTTTTTCTGTTGTTTATATGTATTTAAGTGGCGGGTTTTCTAGTTCTTTCAGTACCTTCAGTAAATAATCCACGCCTAATTTTAAATTCGGCATTAGACTAGCCACCAACAACGCACATGGTACTCTACACTCAATTTTATGAAAAAGAAAATAATAATATTGGGGTCCTTTTAGTCACACGTTGGACGAAGAAAGAAAGACTTGGGTTTAAGTCAAAGATTTTTCCCACTGCCATTAGTGCAGCTTTGAGTAATACAAAAAAGAAGGGTGGCCTTTGTAAGAGACATTGTTTTAAAAATTATTTAGCAAGATACTGAAGGTCGATTTATTATTTTAGTGTGTGAAATTAATAATAACAGGTTTGCACTGGTAAATATATGCCCCAAATTCATCTCCAATTCCATTCATTAATATTTTAACAAAATTGACGGGATTAAATCGGGACATATTTTAACAATGGGCATCTTTAATTGTATTCTTGACGTAGAACTAGATAAAAAAAAGTTTTGGAGAAAAACATGAAGAAATAGAAATGTTGTGAATAACAAGGTTTTCTGAATTAATAAAGCAATCTGACCTCCTAGAGACTATTGGCATATCTCTCACTCTAATGAGAGAGACATTTCCTGTTTTTCTAAATCCTTCTTTTTATACTCCAGAATTGATCTGATTTTGGGTTATAGGACAATGGCTAAATTAATTTTAAAAATATTTATCCCAGCCACATCCTGGTCAGATCATAACCCTGTTATTTTAGACTTAAAAGACCAATTTGACAGAAATAAGCCGGACTGGAAATGGAACGATTGGGTACTAGCCCTGTGCTGTTTCTTAAACGTTACCTACCTTAATGTCATGCTTAAACCTACAATAGGGGACTGCCGAGCAGGACACTATTTCACAGTCTGTACCTAACCTGTTGACACGTTACAACCTTGAAACGCACCCTTGCTACACACACATAATGAAACACTCAACTGTACTGAATCGTTTATGCTAAGCTTGTTCAAACACTTAACCATAAAATTTTTTGTACTGTTATAGCATACCCCACTGTCACAAATGTTTCGGAAGAAGCAAGTAGAATGCCGTTGGGGTACCACATGCATGTTTGTTATACCCATATGCACTGCAAAAAAAAAAAGAAGACCAATTTGACAGAAATAAACCGGACTGGAAATGGAACGATTGGATACTAAAAAAATGATAAAAATTTGAAAGAAATCACAGATCTCACTATGTGAAGAATTGAAATAATGACGCATATGCCCCTATAATATGGTGCGCATTTAAAAGTGTCATACGGGGCTATCTTGTAAATTTAACTGCAAAAGGAAAGAAAATAATCAGATCAAGGAAAAATGTACTAGTATGGTGGATTTATATGTTAATTTAGATGATCTATACTCTCAGAATAAAGAGTCACCCCAAAAATTAGTTTTCCAAAAAAAAATAACTGAAGTTGAAAAACTAATCAACAATGAGCTGATATAAAAGGAACGCTATAGGGTCAGGAACTCAAACATGTATTCCTGACCCTGTAGTGTTAAAACCACCATTTAGGTGGCTTATCCCCACCTTACCTTACCCACCTTACCTTATTTTCCGCACCACACAGGTACACCAGTGCTGGCCCTGCCCCCGATCCACCTCCTGAAAAGACAGTGTTTGCATGAAAATGCCAACAGGGAATGATTATACTTATCAGAACCAATGCATTAAGCTGTAATTGTTTTAGTGACTATAGTTTCCCTTTGAAGGCCAATAAGTCGCTAACGTTTTTAAAAAGGAGATGGTACTCTATGGGCAATAAGGCAGACAAACTTATGTCCAATCGTGTAAAAAAAGAAAAAGCAGAAAGAGTTATTCCTAAGATCATTGATAATAAAGAGGTATTGTTGAGACCAGACAATATAGGGGCAGCTTTCAGGAAATTGTACCAAACATTATATAATAATCCAAACTAGCCCTTAGAAGCAGAAATTTAAAAAAAAATACACTTTTCAATTCCTAAGCTCGCTAATAATCAATTTCTTGCTTTAAAAAAACCATTTGTAGAAGCAGAGTTATTATTTGGCATCGATAAGCTAAAAACAAAAAACTACTAGGCCCTGATAGATTTAATAATAATAATATAAACTTCTGAAAGACAATATCAAAAGAGACCTGTTAGACGCTTTTAACGTTTTCTGGCTATAATTCCTGTAACAGATCCCCCTGTTTCTGAATTAATATATTGCATTGACTGGATCGGTATACGGACCTCACCGAACAGTTGCCCTATTTGGTTCATATTCAGAACAAGTACCGAACACATAAACCACCCAGAACAGTTGTGTGCCACTCGTTAACCTACTTGACCTCACTAACACCTTTGCAAACTGCAATCACTTCAACATTCTAAGTGATCGGCTGGGTGGCCACTATTCGTATGGACGAACACGAGGCGGCTGCCATCTTGTTTTGTGAACGCACCCAGCAGTGTTTGGTTGTCGAGTGTATGGAACTATTATCGGACACTCAATGGCGCAAACACCGCTGGGACTTCCACTTCCACATATGTTTTTTTCCATTTGTCTGAAAGAAGCTGCGTTCGATTGGAGCATACTCCCAAACAAGATACACTGTGTGAGCATACGCACGAACAGTTTATTTGTATATATTGTTGTATTTTGTACTCCCAAAAGAGACCGACCGCACAGCCTGATTTTATTGAACTATTTTGGGCAGGCGCCTTTGGTGCAGTCAGTCTAAGCTATACCACTGTGGCATTTCAGCTGCGTTTGTGAGATCCGAGCCATTTTCGGATATAATGGGCGCTCAGATCCAGGCTATACGGGGATATACGACTTATATAGGACTTACTAATTGTAAACTATATGTTTTGTGGTGTTTTTAGTTATGCATGTCCTGGACCTGAGAGCTAATGTAATTATGTGTGTGCTTCTCACTGAAGTCCCCTCTCAGGTCCAGTGTGAAAAGCCCCAGAATATCTAATGAGAAACCCTTTGCATGGGGAGTTGTGGCTACCGTGAAACCAGTTCAGCTTCACCCTCAACACAGAGCCTCGTCTCGTGATTGTAGGGAACCGATATACCTGCTTTGTATCGCTTGGATTACTGCTTGGGAATACTACAGCATTGCTCATACTAGGAGGAAAGGACATCTCTTCTCTTGGGGTGGCCGCCACAATCCCTGAAATGGAAACATCAAGATTAAATTGTGTGCAGACGACCTTATTTTAACTCTCCAGAATCCTGAACACTCATAAAAGTGCTAGAGGAGTTTTCGAACATTTCTGGGTACAAATTGAATCTAGACAAGTCTACAATTATGATCAGTAATATTTCTGATGAGGTAAAAAAGAGCTATACAAGAGAAATTTAATTTCAAATGGGTAGAACAATTTTTTCTAGCTATTTAGGTTAGCATCTGCTCGGACCCCAATAAAATTATTGAAAATTATTTTCTTCCATTAATTGCTCAAACAAACAACTTACTTAAGGAATTGAATCCCTAAAATAGTCATGGTGGGGTAGAATAAATATTATAAAATCATATATTTTGCCAAACTGGATATAGGTTTAGAATAATTCCATTGTGTATCCCAAACAATTGGCTAACAGTGATCAAACACTCTTTTTCAAAATTAATTTGCAGGAGAAAAAAACTAGAATGGCCAGTAAATACCTATCTCTTAATAAGGTGCAGGACATCTCCCATTAATCCACCAGTACTATAAAGTGAGGTTCCTTTTCCACAGCATAATTTTACAAATGCCGATTTCAAACGGGAGAGGTGGTATGCAGTTGAACAGCAACACACTAATTGTGAGGATATATTAACACTTTTTTGGTCCATTCAAGAATCAAGTTGTGGCTACCTAATGATGTCTATTCTTAAAATGTGGCAAAAAATGAAGAGACATAAAATTAAGGAGACGTATTATAAGCGCCCTGCCTCTCAATTCTGTCGTACAATATTGAAGATTTAAATCTAAGTAGGTGGAGAAAGGCGGGGGTATCTAAAATTGATGAGGTTATGTTGGGTCCGAGGAGTAAGTCTTTTGATTCGATTTGGGATGTTTGTATGTAAGACCTGTGATACCATGGTAGCTGTTTGGTGCCATAGTTGCGCTGTGTGGGGACACTCCCACCACATGTGGAGGTACGTTCCCTTCTGTCCGCAGCCCTTCCAGCATGTGTCATTGTCTGACCTGCCCATCTGTTTGAGTTTTAGGGGGGTGAGATACCACCTCATGAGCGTCTTGTAAGCTTGTTCTTTATGGTTAACGCATATTGAGATGGTCGCTGTGGCTTCCCAAATATCGACCCAGTCTGATGGGTCTGCCGCTGGACCTATGTCCCTCTCCCAAGCCGACACGTATGTAGGGACAGTGCGAAGAGTACTGGGGAAAGTGGACACCCCTGGCGTGTACCGTTATGGATTGTGAAGGTCGGGGGGTGTGTGAGAGGGAGGAGGAGATGTGCTTGTGGTGTGGTGTAGAGTACCTGTAGGGCATTTATAAAACTTCGCGGGAGTCCGAATTTCTCTAGGGTGGCGAATAGGAAGGGCCATAACAGTCTGTCAAATGCCTTTTCGGCGTCCAATGATAGGAAGAGAGTTGGGATGCGTCTCGTGTGGGCTGTCCAAATGAGGTTGTATGTTCGTCTCGTGTTATCGCTCGCCTGTCGTGACGGTATGAAGCCCACTTGGTCTGGGTGTATTAGTTTGGGTAGGTTGGGGCTTCAGGGCCGCCATCAGGGGGTGACAACCGTGACAGTTGTCACGGGCCCGGCGGCCCTGGGGGGCCCGGACTGCTCTGGCAGTCCTGGGCCCCACTTTCCCTTTCTGCACACATAGATAGCGCATATCGCTATCTATGTGTGCAGCCGCGGACCCCTGCTCCCTGTTACCGCAGAGGGGGCCCAGCCAGGCAGCACACAGCTTCTCCTCCTCTCTTCTCTCTTCTCATAACTCTCGCGAGACCCGCGGAGCGTTGCCATGGTAACCGGGTCTCGCGAGAGTTATGAGAAGAGAGGAGAAGCTGTGTGCTGCCTGGGCCCCCTCTGCGGTAACAGGGAGCCGGGGGGCCCCCCACCGGACCACCAGGGATGGAATCTCCCCCCTCCATGGACACAGGTAAGCAGGGAGGGGGGAGAAACATTTAATTAAATTAATTAAAAATTAATGTTAAAATGCCCCTTCCTCCCCCTCCCCCCCAGATCACACATTTACACACACACTGCATACACTAACACAACACACACACTGCATACACTAACACAACACACACTGCATACACTAACACAACACACACACTACATACACTAACACAACACACACTGCATACACTAACACAACACACACACTGCATACACTAACACAACACACACACACTGCATACACTAACAACACACACACTGCATACACTAACACAACACACACAATGCATACACTAACACAACACACACTGCATACACTAACACAACACACACACTGCATACACTAACACAACACACACACTGCATACACTAACACAACACACACTCTGCATACACTAACACAACACACACTCTGCATACACTAACACAACACACACTGCATACACTAACACAACACACACACCATACATAACACAACACACACCATACACTAACACAACACACACACTGCATACATACTTAACACACAAACACAACACACACTGCATACACTAACACACACACTGCATACACTAACACAACACACACACTGCATTCACTAACACAACACACACTGCATACACTGACACAACACACACACTGCATACACTAACACAACACAAACACTGGATACACTAACACAACACACACACTGCATACACTAACACACACACACTGCATACACTAACACACACACTCTGCATCCGCTACATACTAACACACTCTCTGCATTCACTACAAATTTACACACTCTCTGCATTCACTACAAATTTACACACTCTCTGCATTCACTACAAATTTACACACACTGCATTCACTGCACTAACACACACACTACATTCATTACACTGACACACTCTGCATTCATTACACACTAACACACTCTGCATTCACTAAACTATGCACACACTCTGGATTCACTATACTGACACACACTCTGCATTCACTACACTAACATACACTCTGCATTAACTGTACACACAGCATCCACTACACAAACATCCTGTATTCACAGTACACACTACATCCACCACAAATTGAAACACTCTGCATTCACTATACACAGACACTGCGTCTAATACACACACTACAGACACTGCATCCACTAAACACATTTCATCTAGTACATACAAACACTACATCCACTACACAAACACACACTACATCACTGTACACACACTACATCACTGTACACACACTACATCCACTACTCAAAAACACTCTGCGTTCACTATACACACTGCATCCGCTACACCACACACTCTGCATTCATTGCACAAACAGTATCTAATACACACAAACACTACATCCATTACACACATTCTAATTCACTTCCACTATACACACACCACATTCAGTCCTGCATCATTGTGAGCGGACTAGGTAGGGCGTGGGCGGGCCCGCGAGGAGGGGGGGGGCCCAGACCTTGTGCTTTGTCATGGGCCCCAAATTTTCTGATGGCGGCCCTGTGGGGCTTAGTCGGTCCGCGAGGGTTTTGGTGAATAATTTAATATCCACATTGAGGAGTGAGATTGGACGATAGTGTCCAGGTTCGAGGTTTGTTTTGTTGGGCTTGGGGAGGAGGCATACATTCGCTTGTAGCATGTCATTCGGTAGTTGGTCTCCCTGTAGTATGGCGTTGTATAGTGTGCAGAGGTGTGGGATCAAGATGGGGGCGAATGTCTTATAATATAGCCCAGTGAACCCGTCTGGGCCAGGACTTTTGTTGGGTTTGAGTGCTTTTATCTTTCCTGCGAGTTCTTCTGGTGTTATGGGGCTGGCAAGAACCTGTGCCGCTTCCGTGGTTAGGGAAGGTAATGGAATTTGGGTTAGGTATTGGTCTATTAGTGTTTTGGTTGACATTGGGTGTTGTCGTGTTTCAGGGGTGTGGTCGTACAGGGTTCTGAAGTAGTCTTGAAAGACTCCGGCGATTCTCTCTGGGTCCTCTGTGGTTTCCCCTCTCGGGGTAGTTATTTTGTGTATCTGTTTATTTTCGCTTCGTTGCAGGGGTCAAGTCCTGGGGAAAAAAGTGTGGGAACTCTCCCCAAAAAAACCCAAAACACTTGTATGTATGTGTGTGTATATATATATATATAAACACACATATATATATATATATACACACACACATACACACGCGTGCACACACACACATACACTCACACAGTGGTGTATTTTAATTTTATGCTGCCCTAGACATGACTATAGAGCACCCCCTAATCTAAATTTACCACTCCTTCATGTCAAGGGTGCACCGCTTCTTGATTAAGAACCCACCCCTTCCTCTTTAGACTCCACCTTTTCCTGCTCCTTTTAAAGAAATACTATAGTGCCAGGAAAACAAAGTTGTTTTCCTGGCACTATAATTCCATATAGTGCCCCCCTCCTCTCATGTCCTCCCCTCCCCCACTCGACACTGGAGGGGTTAAAATCCTATGGGTATTTAGCAGATGCTGGATGTCCTCATGCACAGGGTGAGGGCGTCCAGCATCAGTTAGGTGACTTTTGGTCACCTAACCACCCGAAAGTCCCTCTAGTGGCTGTCTGATAGACAGCCACTAGACTTGGAGTTACCCCTCAGGTAATTATTGCAGTTTCTGAGAAGGTTTAAGGGGACTGGGACACTGCACCCAGACCACTTCAAGGAGCTGAAGTAGTCTGGGTGCCTATAGTGTCCATTTAAGCACACTCTCTGACAGACACCCACACTGGCAGATACACACTGACAGTAACACACACATTCAATGACAAACACACAAACTTCACTGATTTGACACACACATTCACTGACACACACTCATTCATTGACAGAGAGACACACACTAATAGTCACACACACACTAAATGACAGACTCTCACTTATTTGACAGAAACTTACAATAACGTATGCACATACATGCAATTGCAAACATACACATGCATACACTAACAGAAGCACATACACTCACATACACACGTACAAACGCTAACAGACATAAATACACTCCTACACACACTGAGACAAACAGACATCCACAGACAGACATCCACAGACAGACATCCACACATCCAGACATCCACAGACAGACAGACAGACATCCAGACATCCACACATCCACAAACAGACATCCACAAACAGACATCCACACATCCACAAACAGACATCCACACATCCACATCCACATATCCACATCCACACATCCACAAACAGACATCCACAAACAGACATCCACAAACAGACATCCACAAACAGACATCCACAAACAGACATCCACAGACATCCACACATACACAGACATCCACACATCCACAAACAGACATCCACAAATAGACATCCACAAATAGACATCCACACATCCACAAACAGACATCCACACATCCACAAACAGACATCCACACATCCACAAACCCACAAACAGACATCCACACATCCACAGACATCCACAAACAGACATACAGACATCCACACACAGATATCCACACACAGACATCCACAAACAGACATCCACAAACAGACATCCACAAACAGACATCCACAGACATCCACAGACATCCACACACAGACATCCACAAACAGACATCCACAGACATCCACACACAGACATCCACAAACAGACATCCACAAACAGACATCCACACACAGACATCCACAAACAGAAATCCACAAACAGACATCCACACATCCACAAACAGACATCCACAAACAGACATCCACAAACAGACATCCACACATCCACAAACAGACATCCACAAACAGACATGCACAAACAGACATCCACACATCCACAAACAGACATCCACAAACAGACATCCACACATCCACAAACAGACATCCACAAACAGACATCCACAAACAGACATCCACAAACAGACATCCACACATCCACAGACATCCACACATCCACAAACCCACAAACAGATATCCACAAACAGACATCCACAAACAGACATCCACAAACCGACATCCACAAACAGACATCCACAAACAGACATCCACACATCCGCAAACAGACATCCACACATCCACAAACAGACATCCACAAACAGACATCCACACATCCACAAACAGACATCCACAAACAGACATCCACACATCCACAAACAGACATCCACATCCACACATCCACAAACAGACATCCACATCCACACATCCACAAACAGACATCCACACATCCACAAACCCACAAACAGACATCCACACATCCACAAACCCACAAACAGACATCCACACATCCACAAACCCACAAACAGACATCCACACATCCACAAACCCACAAACAGACATCCACACATCCACAAACCCACAAACAGACATCCACACATCCACAAACAGACATCCACAAACAGACATCCACACATCCACAAACCCACAAACAGACATCCACACATCCACAAACAGACATCCACACATACACAGACATCCACACATCCACAAACAGACATCCACAAATAGACATCCACAAACAGACATCCACACATCCAAAAACAGACATCCACACATACACAGACATCCACACATACACAGACATACACAGACATCCACACATCCACAAACAGACATCCACAAACAGACATCCACACATCCACAAACAGACATCCACATATCCACAAACAGACATCCACATATCCACAAACAGACATCCACACATCCACAAACAGACATCCACATCCACACATCCACAAACAGACATCCACACATACACAGACATCCACACATACACAGACATCCACAAACAGACATCCACACATCCACAAACAGACATCCACATCCACACATCCACAAACAGACATACATATATACAAATTAATAATAATATAAAAAAATTAACATTTCCCACCCACCCAGCATCCCTACCTTTCCCTGGGGTCCAGTGGGGCTGCAGTGAGGACGGCTCTCTCCCTTTCACACGCGGAGAGGGAGCTGTGTGCTCTCTGCTCCCTCTCGCCGCGCGGGATGTCTGCTGATGCTGGGAGCCGGAATATGACGTCACCAACCCGGCTCCCAGCATCAGCAGACATCCCGCGCGGCGAGAAGGAGCAGAGAGCACACAGCTCCCTCTCCGCGTGTGACAGGGAGAGAGACGTTCGTCGTCGGGGGGGGGGGGGCAATCCATCAGGTGGCCCCCCATGACAGGGGGAACACAGGGCATTTGGGGGCGGCATTTTTTGCCGCCACCTGAGTGCCTGCAGGGGGAACGGCGTTCCTGCTGTGAAAAAAGTGCAGGAACGCCGTTCCCACGCGTTCCTGCAGGACTCGAGCCCTGCTTCGTTGTTTGAGTCTGCGGGCGAGTAACGTGTCAGCTTTGTTAGCCTTGTCGTAATATAGCTGTTTTGTCCAGAGTAACGCTTTGGTCGAATCTTTCGCCATGTATTCTTTAATCTTGTTTTGGCATGTTATGATTTGCTCGTTGAGCTCTTGTGTTGGATCTATTTTATGTTTTGCCTCCAGGGTTCTTAGGGTCTGCAGTGTTTGTTCAAGGTGGGCCATCTGCTTTTTTTTGTGTATCGTTGCTTGGTTGATTAAGGCTCCCCTGATTACAGCTTTGTGTGCTGCCCATAGGTTCCCTTCGGAGGTTGCCGTGCCTTTGTTGGTTTGGAAGTATTCTGTTATGGCTTTGTCAATCGTTTGTCTGATTAGTGGGTTGTGTAGGAGGTGTGGGTTTAGGCGCCATGTCCAGGGTCTCGCCGTTCCTGGCAGGTTAATGGTCAGTGTTATTTCAGCATGGTCCGACCATGTGATGGGGCCTATTGATGTGTTTTTGGTCATAGGCGCCAGTGATGGTGATATGAGAAAAAGATCTATACGGGAGTGTGATTGGTGTGGGTGCGAAAAGAAGGTGTAGTCTAGGGTTGTGGGGTTCTGAGCTCTCCATGCATCTATGAGGCGTGTGCGGGAGATGAATGCCGAAAAGAGTTTGTCAGCTTTCGCTGTTGCTTGTCTTCTTTGCCTATGTGGATGCGATCGGCTGTCTACCGTGGGTGATGGGGTAGCATTAAAGTCGCCGCCTATTATGGAGTGGTGGGAGGGAAAGAGAGCTAGGTGTGCTTGTATTGTGTGCCAGAATGAGCTAGTTGGGGTGTTTGGCGCGTATAGAGTGGTGAAGGCGTAGGAGTGTGTGCCTATCTTGCCTGCGACTGTGAGGAATCGGCCTTGTGGGTCCGCTACCGTCCGCTGTATGGAGAGGGGGCATGATTTCCGTAGAACGATGGCTACCCCGTTATGTTTCTCTTGTGGAGAGCTGGCGAAGTGATTTATTTTATAGTGTCGGCTCAGGAGGGGAAACTGTTTGGTTTGATTGAAGTGTGTTTCCTGCAAGAGGAGTACGTCTGCTTTAGTTCTATTTGCCCATCTCATAAGCTGGTGTCTTTTTGCGGGACTGTTCAGTCCTTTGCAGTTGATTGATAGGCAGGTCAGAGTGGCTGGCATGCTGGTTGGTGCGACGCTGGCCTTTGCGTACGCGTTGTCTTCTTGTGTGGGGTTGCTTTAGTGTGTGGTATGTGGGGGAGTTGTAGGTAGGGTGGGGGGGTTGGGGTGGGGTGATGGCGAGAAGTGCCGATGTGAGGAGGTGTGTGTGTGATGTGGGAGGGGTTGTACCAGTATAACTGGTAGGTGGGGTGTCAGGTGGGGCCTGGTCTTACAGGTCAGTTGCCAGGCGTCTGGTGGGCGGTGTGAGTCGCGTTCGAAGGTGGTCAAGTTTAGTGTGTGTTGGAGTGTGGGTGCTTATATGTTTTGGTGTGTTTCAAATGTGGATAGTGGTATGTGGTCGTTGGAGTTTGTGGGGAGGAAAGTGGAGTGACTGTGTGACGCTCTCTCTTCTACCCCGGGTGTGTGGTGTCTGCTCCGTGGGTGTGGTGCATTTGGAGGGGTTTTATGTGGTTTTGCTCTGTGTTGGTACCTGGTTGTTGCTAGGGTTTGTATGCTTGATGTAGATCTGGGGCTTTTGCGTTTGTTTGTGTGCTGTTGAGTTGTCCGGTGTGGGATCTGTTATGCTAGTGTCTGATTGTGGGGTTTTGTTCGTGGTAGATTTCGGTGCTTGTCTTTATTCTTCTGGTGTTGGTCGTCTTGTGTGTGGTTGTATTGCGGCAGTTTGATGCTTGTGTGTTTGCATGCGTTGTGGCGTGTTTGTAGTCGAGGCTGGTGGGTATTGTTGACTAACCTGTCCGCGTCTGTTGGCCCTTGTGGTCCAGTATGTGGGCTGGTGTTCTGTCGTCAGGCTGCCAGGATTCGTTTGGGGAGGTGATGGGACACTTGTGTCGTAACTTTAACAGAAATAAACAACATGTTATCCAACATCCATGAACTTCAAATGTAACCTTGGCTCTTGGTGGCCTTTCATCGTGTGCCCAGGGTGGGTGTGTTAGGTCAGTTTGGGTTGCGATGGGGGGCCTCGCTCTGTGTGTGCTAATGACATGCGACGGCTCCCTTTGTCCCCCATCTTTCTGGCCCCTGTGTTCCCCGGGTATGGTTTGTGCGTGTTGTGTTCCGGGTTTAGCTATTGCTATGGGTTTCCACTGTTTAGTGGGGTTTTTCGTGCCCTTCTCGGTTACCCCCTGTTTTCATTTTGGGAGTGTAGTCTTGAGCCTTAAACTCTGGTTGGTGTGGTGTAAGGTTTCCTAACGTTGCGTTTGGCTGTGAGACCCCCTCCCTTTTCTGCCTTTAGGGCTTGGGACCCTCTGGGCATCGGTGGTTGTTAGCGAGTGTCGTTTGCAGGGCCTGGACTTAATCTCTGATGTTTAGTCTGGGTTTCATGTATGTGCCTGTGTTGTGGCTCCCGCTAGTCTGTGGTGTGTTATGAGAGTCCGGGCTTCGGGTGGGTATTTTGTGGGGGTTGGTTTTGCATTGTGTCCCGTGCCCTCTGTCCGATACCCAGCGCTCCCCTGCTTGTAGGATTCAGTGCCCTCTGCGTCTCAGGTGTATTCTGTGAGGTTTTTTTGTTCTGTCTATCTGTCTCTGGTTTGCTCGTCTGCATAACAGAGCGTAGTGTGTGCTAGCTGTTCTCGGTAGTCTGCGCATCTTGTGCTTGATGCGGGGTTGCTGCTGAAGTTCATTGGTGTGGTTAGCTTTTGGTGTTTGGTTTAGGGGGGTGTTTGCCCTGCATTTTGCGGGTGCTGGTCTTGTTGTTTGGAAAGTGTACCCTGCGTTTGTGTGCCTTTCAGCGTTTTAGCCTTGTCTGGTACCTATCAGTGTGACTTCATACTAGAGGTGCATATTTCCGGCTATCCGGCTATTCTTTTAGGGTGTAAGTGCTCTGGTCACAGTGTTGGGGTCTAGTCCTTTGACGGCTCCCTAAGTGGGTTTGCTGCTCTGCGTTTTGCAGGGGTGGTGCCCACCTCCCCCCCATCCCCCCGAGCCTTAGGTGGTCCCTGTAGTGGCAAACTTACTGAACTGGTCTAACATAAACAGTAACAAATCATTAACCCCATATTGGGGCGTAACATCATGTAACAACATATATACTACCGGCTGTGCAGTGGTTTTTAGCGTCCGTTTACCCGGTTTTTGGCGTAAATGCCGAAATTCAGGGATGGTTTATGGTAGAGTCCTGTGCGCATCGAGCGCTGCCGTTCAGGTGTCCCTGTGTGGGTGCTCTTGCGAGGCCGTCGGGGCTTTCTTCTTCGGCTGCGTGCGCGCCATGTTTGCGCGGGACTCACTTCGGCGGAGTTTGGTCCCCTTTTTTAACCGTAATTCGAAAGGGGTGCCCCCAGGTGTAGCACCAGCCGGCCTCAAGCAGAGCTGTAGTTAGGGGCTTCAGATCCCGCCGTTTTCTTAGCGTTGAGGGGGCCAAGTCCTGGTAGAATTGAAGCTGTTGCCCCTGGTAGACTGGTGGACGATCCCTTGCTGCCTTCATGAGCTGCTCTTTTACCGGGAAGTGTAGCAATTTAACGATGACATCCCTTGGTGTGTTTGAGTTGGGGAAGGGGGGTCTCAGTGCCCTGTGGGCTCTTTCGATATAGATGTTTTGCCCTGGGTTGTCCGGCAGCAGGGACTGGAATATTGCTGTGATGGTGGGGAGTATAGCCTCCGGCATGACAGATTCTGCTAGGCCTCTTATACGTATGTTTTGCCGCCGGGATCTATTATTTAGGTCTTCCATTCCGTCCTCCAGAAATAGGATTCTATCTTTTAGTATCCCCATGTCCCTGCCGTGGTCCGCCGCCTGTGTTTGCATTTCTTTGAGCGTGCGTTCGGTGTCACTGGTGCGTGAGGCCAGCGCCTCAATGTCGCCTTTGAGGCCTGCTATTTGTTTTTCAAGGGCTGCAGTGGTATAGGCCTTGATGTCCGCCGAAGTTTCTTTCAGCATTTTCCGAAGGACTTCTTTAGTGAGGGGTGTCGCGTGGGTGCTCTCGTGCTCGCTCTCTTCCGAGTCTGAGCCAGAGTTTTCCTGGCTTTGGGCCCAAGATGGCTGCCTGTCTTCTTTTGCGCGGAACATCGTGGCTACTGACGGGGTTGAATCCTTTTTCTTTTTGGAGCCCCCCATGTGGGTGAGTGTGGTTGTTGTCTGTGGGTAGTTTCGTCGCTTTTTGGCACCTTGGTGGAGGCTGATGGATGCAGATTTTGTGCCCGGGGTGAGAGAGCTGAGGAAACACACGTCCTACTCCATTGACAGTTAGGCTCCGCCTCCCGTAGTGAATATTTTAATTATATAAGAATCAAAAGATTCTTGAATATTTGCTTTCCGAAAGAGAATTTTAACGTTTATGGCATTCTAGAAAGACTTATGATGGGTAATGAAATGGACAATATTTTAAGAAAATGCACTAACCTACTGAGAAACTCTGATTCACCTCAAACTTTTGCGGTTTTTAAAATATGGAAAAGAGTTCTTAATAGAAAAATTTCAACAGTAGAATGGATACAGTCATGAAAACCGTTAACTGCTTAAATCTAATGGAACTAAAGATTTCAATTGGATTCTACTTAGTCCCTAGTCTGCTGGCCAAAATGAATCAAATTTCCTCAGCGATTTGCTGAAGATGCAAGTCAGGAAGAGGCGATTTATTGCATAGATGGTGGTATTGTTCTTCAATTTTCTTATTTTGGAAAAATTTGCACCGTCAGATTCAGAAGATCGCTGAAATATGGCCACCCCTCACTACAGAAGTATTTTTGTTACATTTTGACTTGACTATATTTAATAAAAATCTAAAAGTTCCAACTGAAAATGGAGGCAGACCTAAAATATAATTTAGGGAAAAATAGCCCTGATATCGAAATTTGGATTAAAAACTAACAATGTTCTGAGCAAATTTCTTCTCTCTCTCTTTCTCTCTCCTCTTCTTTTGTTCGTAAGCAACTATGTTAGTAATGTCTAATGTTGTATGCTTTTGTATAAATGTACAAGCAAAGTAAAGTGAAAAGTAAGGGGAACGGAGAGGATAGAAGAGGGAGAATTTAAAGGAAAGGAAAGCTTTGACAGTGTAAGTGAGATTAGGAAATTATTCTAGCCTAGAAGACTTTATAATTAATCCTTTGTCATCCTTTCTGACTAAGGAAGACATCATCTGGGACTGAAATCTAGAAGGTATAGAAAAGGTCTATAAAAAATAAATAAAATTTAAAAAACTCACCGCTATTCCCTTTTCTAAATTTGCAATGTTGTATTTATTGCTTTTTTAATCAGGTAATATTGTTGTGGCTAATATTTTTATATATTTCTGTGTTAGAGGCGATAATTAGGCAATAAGGTGGCTCCATGGGGCCCCCTAACAGAGGGATACCACTGGACCAACATGAAATTGATCAACACTGTCACCCCCTCCACACAGGCTGTCACACCCCTCCACAAACACTCACTCCCTCCATAATCTGTCATCCCTCCACACACTGTCACCCTCCCCACACACATTTTCACCCCGTCCACACACATTGTCACACCCCACACACACTGTCACCCCCTCCAACTTCTGTAAACACCTTAACACTCTGTCACCCCTCCATACACTGTCACTATCCCCTACACACACTGTCACCCTGCCACATCCTGATCCAACCACACTCAATCCCTCCAACCATGTCACACTAACCTCCTCTCGCTCTGCCACACTCACCAGCATGGGGCTCTCTAATTGGGCGAGTTAGGCGGCCACCTAAGGCTTTGCGCTGGCTTGGACATCGTGGCTGTCTAACTCACCTTACGGCAGACTGGCTTGTCAGGTCCTTAGTCCAGACACAGGATAGGGCTCAGTGGTTTGCCCTGTATGCCGCCTGATGCGAGGCCACTCCTCTCAGTCTGCCCATTGAGGGAGTACACCCATCACCTTCAGGCTGCAGCTCCACCGGGTGCAGAGTGGCAGGTCATGTGATAGAGATCTCATGAGCTGCCAGATGGTTGCTGCGGGTTACCATGGAGATCTAGCCCACCTCCCGCCAAAGCCAGTCTCCAATACACTGTTCCCCCCCACTGTCAGCCTCTCATCCACTTGCCCTGTCACATTCACCGTGCCATGGTTACCCTTTTATCCATCATGTCACAGTCACCCCCTCAAGACAACCATCATACAGTCATAAAACATAGCAGCACCATAAACTCAGTGCACAGAGGCCTCAGCCAATCCCCCCCCATATATACAAAACACAGCAAGCAGCTAACCCACACACATACAGCCCAGACAGAAACATACACATGCTCACATAAACATACATTAACTTACAAGGATACTCACTGTCAGACACACACTCTCAGGCACATACACAGGTAGACAATGCAAGACACACTCAGAGATACACACAGCCAGATAAATACACAATGTGACTTAATGCCTGTATTACTCAATATTTGCCTCTCTGTGCATCAGTGTGTTTGTGTGTGTGTGTGTGTGTGTGTGTGTGTGCATGTTCATGTATCAGTGTAGATATGTGTTGGTGTATTGGTGTGTGTGTGTCTATGTCTGCAATGTGAGGATGGTATGCTATGGGCAATGCAAAGGTAAAGTAGCAAGCAACATATATATTATACACATACATATACAATACATGGGAAAACACATATGTGACAATATATATGCAAAGGATTATAGAATGTGCTGGGAAAATTTCTATGACACTGTTTTCTTATCTGTAACTTTACTATTTGGTAAATTACTTTAATTCTTGTGGCATCACCCACTCGGTCTGCCTCAGTTCTGGAGGTCTACAGCCGCATTTCTCCTCTGCACAGTGCCTTTCGATACTTCATTCATTACAACAACCAAGGTAAGCATTTCTTCTTTATGTCCTTGCTTCCATATCTACCTTATGTTTATTTATCTGTACCACAACCAATTGGTCACTTATATCCCCTTACTGTTTCAGATTCAACTTTCCACCCCCATTATCCTCATCCAGGCAGGGGTCTCTTCAGACAGTCTCTGCTACTGCTGGGGGATATGTGCACTATAGGGCTCAATACCCTGTGCACTCTGGGGTGAGGCCCCATAAAGGTGCTGCCTATCAGAGCTCTACTGTTGCAATCTCTGCATACTGGGTGCTACCCAGACTAAAATCCCAATACATTATTTACACTCTGCTGGGGTGATAAATATATATATATATATACAGTTGCAAGAAAAAGTATGTGAACCCTTTGGAATGATATGGATTTCTGCACAAATTGGTCATAAAATGTGATCTGATCATCATCTAAGTCACAACAATAGACAATCACAGTCTGCTTAAACTAATAAAACACAAAGAATGAAATGTTGCCATGTTTTTATTGAACACACCATGTAAACATTCACAGTGCAGGTGGAAAAAGTATGTGAACCCCTAGACTAATGGCATCTCCAAGAGCTAATTGGAGTGAGATGTCAGCCAACTGGAGTCCAATCAATGAGATGAGATTGGAGGTGTTGGTTACAGCTGCCCTGCCCTATAAAAAACACACACCAGTTCTGGGTTTGCTTTTCACAAGAAGCATTGTCTGATGTGAATGATGCCTCGCACAAAAGAGCTCTCAGAAGACCTACGATTAAGAATTGTTGACTTGCATAAAGCTGGAAAGGGTTATAAAAGTATCTCCAAAAGCCTTGCTGTTCATCAGTCCACGGTAAGACAAATTGTCTATAAATGGAGAAAGTTCAGCACTGCTGCTACTCTCCCTAGGAGTGGCCGTCCTGTAAAGATAACTGCAAGAGCACAGCACAGACTGCTCAATGAGGTGAAGAAGAATCCTAGAGTGTCAGCTAAAGACTTACAAAAGTCACTGGCAAATGCTAACATCCCTGTTAGCGAATCTACAATACGTAAAACACTAAACAAGAATGGATTTCATGGGAGGATACCACAGAGGAAGCCACTGCTGTCCAAACAAAACATTGCTGCACGTTTACAGTTTGCACAAGAGCACCTGGATGTTCCACAGCAGTACTGGCAAAATATTCTGTGGACAGATGAAACCAAAGTTAAGTTGTTTGGAAGAAACACACAACACTATGTGTGGCGAAAAAAAGGCACAGCACACCAACATCAAAACCTCATCCCAACTGTGAAGTATGGTGGTGGGGGCATCATGGTTTGGGGCTGCTTTGCTGCGTCAGGGCCTGGACGGATTGCTATCATCGAAGGAAAAATGAATTCCCAAGTTTATCAAGACATTTTGCAGCAGAACTTAAGGCCATCTGTCTACCAGCTGAAGCTCAACAGAAGATGGGTGTTGCAACAGGACAATGACCAAAGCATAGAAGTAAATCAAGAACAGAATGGCTTAAACAGAAGAAAATACGCCTTCTGAAGTGGCCCAGTCAGAGTCCTGACCTCAACCCGATTTAGATGCTGTGGCATGACCTCAAGAAAGCGATTCACACCAGACATCCCAAGAATATTGCTGAACTGAAACAGCTCTGTAAAGAGGAATGGTCAAGAATTACTCCTGACCGTTGTGCACGTCTGATCTGCAACTACAGGAAACGTTTGGTTGAAGTTATTGCTGCCAAAGGAGGTTCAACCAGTTATTAAATCCAAGGGTTCACATACTTTTTCCACCTGCACTGTGAATGTTTACATGGTGTGTTCAATAAAAACATGGCAACATTTCATTCTTTGTGTGTTATTAGTTTAAGCAGACTGTGATTGTCTATTGTTGTGACTTAGATGATGATCAGATCACATTTTATGACCAATTTGTGCAGAAATCCATATCATTCCAAAGGGTTCACATACTTTTTCTTGCAACTGTATATATATATATATATATATATATATAAATATATATATATATATATATACAGTACGGCTGGTACTTATTGTTCCTGAGCTATTCTACCCTGCTAGGGTCATTAGTACTGCTGGTCCTATTCTCGGAACATTACCCTGCTGGGGTTATATCTGGTACTGCTGGTACCATAACTACTGTAGGATCCTCTCCTACTATTGACCCCTGCCTCAACTGCCCTCTTATAAGGGGCCAAGTCCTTGCCTACATCATGGAAGAATCTCAACCTACTCCAGTGGACTTTCAGTCCATGGTAAATGCAGCTGTGGCCGCTTCTATGGAGAAGGCCATCCAATCCACGCTGCACACGCCACGATACTGAGTCTGAGGACTCTGAAACCCAGACCAAGGACGACACCCAGGCTACCAAACGCCACTGGAAAAGGGAGAAGGACCCCAAACCAAGCAAGGGCAAACACCCTGCTAAGAAAAGCAAAACGGCGGCCGCCGTTACCCCTGCCCCTCTCCAAGTGTTCTCCTCAGAGAAGGAGGAAGATATTGATGACACTATGGCCATACTGGATGAATGGCAAGCTAACGCATCTCAATCCGATGATGACGCCTGAGGCTCAGAATCTAAACCCTTTCATACAGGGGATTCAGATTCATTCGCTGCTGAATGGCAAGGGACGGGGGACGCCTCCCTGATACAGGACGAGGCTATTCTGGACCCTGTGGGCCAGACACTCTTTGACCCACGTAACATCAGACACCCTCGCTCGACAGACTGGACACCTCCGGAACACCTCGCTATGTTTATGCACCTATGGCTGCGTAAACCTATGGACAAGGTAGTCAGCAACCGACTGAAGTCGGAATGCCCCCGCCCTTCCCTACCAGATCAAGTAGCCCTGACACCTAAATTTGACCAGGTAATCACTACCTTCATGAGTAGTGGTGGTCACAACCCCCACCGCAGGGTGGATAGGGGATTCAAAGGAGTCCAAGACAAGCTACTAGATACCTCCGGACCCCTCTCCCGCATCACCTGGCAGACGATGCCTTCCAACGAGCAGACCAATTCGATGCCGACATGGTCAGGGAATGGGCACACGATATACACGAATGGGCTCAACGCGGTTTCTGTTTCCTTGGAAATGCAAATGTGGCCCTCTCACCTGAGAGGCGTAAGGCAGCACTTCTCCGCATAGATGGGAAGTTGGTGGAATTGGGCACCAAAGAACTCGGACCTCTGGCACAGGGAAAATTATTTGGAAACTCATTCCTAAAGGAATTGAACCACTCCACTACAGGGCGATGCAACGCCTCAAGGCATCCTTCCTCCGCCGAAATCCCACCTACGACCAACCAGTACCGATTATGGCAGAGGTCAGGGAGGAACTTCAATGGTGGCTGGACAGCATGCAGGCCTGGAACAAACGTGCTAAATTCGGCAAAACCCCAGATTTCATGCTGGAATCGGACGCAAGCCTTTGGAGCTGGGGAGCCACGAGCGAGGGAGGAGACTGGACCTCACAGGAACTCAACCTGCATATCAACTGTCTCGAACTCCTGGTGGGTTCCTTCGCCATATGCAGCCTGGCAAGGGACAAATACGATTGTTGCATTCTCCTCAGGATGGACAACATCTCGGCCGTCCGCTATGTCAATCGCCTAAGCGGAGCTTGCTCGCGACTCCTATCCGAACTCATGAAAGAAGTGTTCGACTTCTGCCTTCCACGCAACATCTCCCTCAAGGCGGAATACCTACCAGGGAGATGAATCTCACAGCCGACTGGTTCTCTCACCATTGGAGAGATGGCAGCGATTGGATGCTGGACCCAGAGATATTCACTGTCCTCTCGCAAATGAGAGGACCCTTCCATCTGGATCTCTTCACGTCCCGCAACAACAGACAAACCCCATACTTCTTCAGCTGGCTCCCGGACCCGGAATGCAAAGCAGTGGATGCTTTCCTACAGACCTGGCCGCCCTTCGGCACCTACGCATTTCCCCCATTCGCTATGATAGCGAGGACTCTCCATTATCTGAAGGTACACCAGATTTCTCTGCTCCTAATTACCCCCCTATGGCAGAGTCAACCATGGTTCCCGGATCTTCTAGCACTATCTTACGCAGACCCGCTCTTGCTGCCATCCCAACCGACTCTCCTCACGGACATGAAAGGGAACCCTCACCCGCTAATGCTGGAAGAGAGATTCTCCCTGGTGGCTTGGGCTCTTTCTGGGGCACCTGGCAAGTCAGCGAACTATCGCAGACTGCTAGAGACCTCTTATGGGATTCATGGGCTCCGGGTACGAGATTATGCTACTAATGACAGACTTTCGCTCCGCCAACTTTCGGCCAAGATGACGATTTTACTCTGCCTAGTCTCATTTCGCCGGGTATCCGACGTTAGGGCCTTTGAAGTCGATGCCTTTTCGAGTCACCTTCCATATCTCCTGACACACCAAATCGAACTCCACCACCATTTTTTACCCCTTTTTTCGTCACAGAACCTCAAACTACCACCTCTCTCCACCCGACTTCCTCCGGCCAACTTCTGATTTCCTACGTCAAGCCACACAATCCAGTTTCCTCTACTACCCTCGCTAGACGGGTACGTTGGATTTTGTCACTGGCAGGCGTGGATGCCACTTTCGGGGCTCATTCGGTGAGAGGCGCGGCTGCTTCTTCGGCCTACGCAGCTGGAGCATCACTATCAGACGTCCTTCGCACGGCTGACTGGTCCCACGAATCCACTTTTTGGACCTTCTACTTTAGACCGAACTCCTGCGCTGCGTTTTCCTTGTTACATCAGCGTGAAAAATGCAAAATACGAAGCCTCCTGTCATGTAACAAAATTGAAGATTATGCTAGCTTTAGTGTACTAATAATCTTAATTTTAATAAGGACAAGAGGCGAGTATTTTCCCACCCATACCCACCCCTTTCAGTCTTCAAGTATATCTATGCTGCTCCTTCTTCAGATTCCCCTATCCTCCTTTATGAAGCTAGCTTTTCTATCTCTCTCTTCATCATTCCGAATATCCAACGTATATTGTGTATCTCTCGTAGGTCATGATACTTATACCTTGTTGTACCGTAGGGAGAGAAGTATCGATTAATAGTATACTGTCATTATAGTCTGACTAAAATAGTCTAGCCAGATGCCTTCCATGTTTTTCATGGTCTTACGACTAGTACCTAACCTATTCCACGTTCTCGTTTCAGCGTAATTTCACTTGGACCTACGATTACCTCTATGTGGATTATCCCAAGTTTATCCTACGCTCCCCATGGATTATCCTAATTCGTTTGGATTGATTCTCCTGTTACAGACCCAAGACTGGCTTTAATTCAGAATTGTTTAAACTTTGTCCGTCTGCAATGTTCATTGGGAATACTATACCTCCTACTGTTTTGTGATTGGTTTATGCAAAATACTCGCCTAATGTCCTTATTAAAATTAAGATTATTAGTACACTAAAGCTAGCATTATCTTCAATTTTTTGACTAATTGTGTTAGTGGGGACCTCATGTTTGAGTTTCGCCTAAGGCTTTGCAAAGTCTAGAGCTGCCACTGGTCTGTGTTGTCTGAATTGTAAATGTATGGTGTTCGGTCTAAAAGACAGAATTAAATACAACTAAACAAGCAGAAATTTACAATCTTCAAATATCTAATTTATTTAGGAATATATTATAGGTAGTGTGGGGATGAGATCCAAAAGATGAAATTTGATTTGAAAAAGATTTTATATTTTGCAATTTTCCCCTCTTCCTTCATTCATGGTTTTTCATTCTTCACTCTCTTTCTGCAAAACACACAATAAATATATTAGTGAGTATCTATTGCACTGAACAAATGTAAGCAGCAACTTCTCCATTACATCACAACAATAAAATGACCCAAATTATAGTATAGCACTACATGACTAGTCCATTGTGTTACAATAATCAACTTAACAACAAATGTCAATAAATGGATACAGATGTGGAAGATAAGCTTGCATTCCATGAAGAATGTAATGATAGGAAGGAACGTTATAAAGTGAGGACCTGCAATAATGTCTTACCTTGGTGCTGACGTCACGGCTTTTAGCTCTGAGTTTGTTCACTTGAGATTCGGCAATGTCGGCTCTCTCCTCGGCTTCCTCCAGCTCATGTTGGACCTTTCTGAACCGACTCAAATGAGCGTTGGTCTGCTCCTCCTGACACACAAGAATGGACAAGAATACATGAGGAATGACTAACAGCAACGTTTATAAACCTATGAGGATCAGTGTATTCTAACTGGACTTTTGACGGCTACAAACAAGAACTCATTGGGTTTGTACTTACAGATTCTTCAGCCTGTATCTTGTAGGCCTTTACTTTCAGCTGCAGTTTTTCCACCAGATCCTGCAATCTCAGGACATTTTTCCTGTCTTCTTCGGTCTGAAAGAGGAGATAAGATTTTTTGCAGAGTCTACTGGAGATTATGGCATTATTTTTTTTAAGTAATTTTATTTGCTTTTAGTAATATATTAAATCTACACTTAAATATATTTTATTTTTGACCAGTGCCTTTTTAATATTTAAGATTAATACACAAGAAGACTACTTTACCTGGTAAGTTAGCTCCTTCACTCTCCTCTCGTATTTGCGGACACCTTTAACTGCCTCAACTTCACGCTTCTGTTCATTATCCAATTCGTTCTCTAGTTCTCGAACCTGGAGATCACATTAACAGAATACAGATTATTCATTTGTAATTTCTAAATTCAACCTTATTCATCACAGTCCTGTGATTTGTACATACTCTGGACTCAAGCTTTTGGAGCTGCTTCTTGCCGCCCTTCAGTGCTAGCTGCTCAGCTTCATCCAGACGATGCTGCAGATCCTTCACAGTTTGCTCAAGGTTCTTCTTCATTCTCTCCAAGTGAGAGCTGGTGTCCTGCTCCTTCTTCAGTTCCTCTGCCATCAGAGCAGCCTTTGGAAAAAAAAATTCAAGCACACAGTGAATAACAAAGCAAAACAAACAAACAAACAAGCAAAAACAATCAAAGCATAAAGTGCAAACTTTGGACAAAACATACAACGGTGATGGCCTTCTTGGCTTTGTCATCAGCATTTCTTGATTCTTGGACAGCTTCCTCAGCTTCGTTCTGGAGTTGAGCAATGTCAGACTCAAGCTTCTTCTTGGTATTAATGAGGCTGGTGTTCTTAAGTGAAGAAGAATAGTGTATTTAATCTATTTACACACATTCTATCAATGAACATTTAATTTGTTTCCATTCTATGTACTTTACCTGTGAGTGCAGAAGCTGGACGCGTTCACTTACATCCAGGAGCTCTTGTTCTGCAGCCTTCCGAGATCTCTCTGTCTGTTCCAGAGCAGACCTGTGCTCTTCAAGTTCAGCCTGCAGCAGGTTGGTTCTACGTTCAATCACAGCCACCTGTTAATTCAGATCTTCCTGTCCTCTGACTGCATCATCCAGCTGAAGCTGAGTATCTTTTGAAAGATTATGGACAATATTCTAAATATCTCATTTTAAGAACTAACAGCTCTAACATTAGTGCAAAAATAATACATATTAATATTGTTGTGTGAGGTGGTCCTGAGATACCTTCAATTGTGCCTGCACATTGCAGAGCTGTTTCTGTGCCTCTGAAGCCTGGCAGTTGGCATGGCTGAGCTGGATTTCAAGGTCATTCAAGTCTCCTTCCATCTTCTTCTTCAGTAACAGAGCATCATTCCTGCTTCTGATCTCAGAGTACAGCGTGCTTTGCAGGGTATCGACAGCTCTCTGAGCGTTCCTCTTCAGCTGTTCAATTTCTTCATCCTTCTCTGCAACTTTCCTGTCCACCTCAGATTTTATCTGGTTCAATTCCAGCTGAAAACTGAGGATCTTGGCTTCTTCATGTTCCAAATATCCCTATTAAAAATATATATATATATATTTGGTTGTTTAAAGGTATCCCTTTACACAGCAATATTGGTTGCAGATATTTTACTCATTTATTTTAGGCACATACCTCTGCTTCCTCTAGGGCAGCCTGTAGATCGCTCTTGTGCTGCTCAACTTGCTTCTTGGCCTTCTCCAGCTCGTTAGTGGATTTAGTAGATTCACTGATCTGTTCAGTGAGATATGAGATCTCCTCTAGAAAAGTAATGGACAAATATTTATTCAGACTTTGTATTTAAGTTTATTGTTCAGCAGTACTAACATGTGTAAAGTTGAGATCTGTTGTGACACAAGTGCTATAGAAGAAAGAAAATAATATAGAAAGAGATGTAGGAGACATGAAGGTCCCATCTGACACATAAAATTATATAATCTCAATATATTACTGTCATTTGCAGAAATGGACCTTACCATCTGTACAGCTATACTAATGCTAATACTGGAAATATGCTTAAATTAAGTTATAGAATTATTGAAAAGTTAGCAATGTCTCCTGCAACCAATGTAATATAGATACACCTATGTTGCAAGTTCTTGTTTTCGCGTTTCAAGGTCTCAACTTGTTCCAAGGCCTCCTCATAAGCATTCTTCAGCTTGAAGATATAACGGTGCTCAGGCCACGGGATTCTTTCTGAGCAGCCTCCAGCTCAGCTTGACCCTCTTCGTATTTATTTTTCCATTCTACCAGGATCTATCATATTGATACAGAATGATAATTTGTAAATATTGTACTTTTTTTTGTGTTATGGAAATTAGGATTTTCTTTTTTTAATATCTACCTTGTCGAAGTTCCTCTGCTTCTTGTCTAGAGCAGCTGCAGCACTGTTGGCTTTCTCAACATCCACCATTAGGTCCTCTACCTCAGACTGTAGCCTCTGCTTGGTCTTTTCCAGAGAGGAACATTTAGAGTTTACAGCCTCTACCTGTTCCTCAGCATCCTGCAAGCGCAGAGCAAGCTTCTTCCTGGAAGGACATTGAAGGTATAATATAAGGACATTATTCAAAATGTGATAACATTGCTTAAATTGTTTTTATTAAGTGGGAACATACTTGGCCTCTTCCAGTTCCTCTGTACACTGAATGGCTTCAGTTTCGTATTTGGTCCTCCATTGAGCAACTTCACCATTTGCTTTGGACAAAGAGCGCTGAAGTTCAGCCTTGGCTTCTTGTTCCTCCTCAAATTGCTCACGGAGCAAGTCGTTGTCATGGCGGGAGGACTGGAGGGCATGAGCCAGGGCATTCTTAGCCTGAAATATAAGGGGGAAACATGTATTTGGAAATATGTAAAAATATATGCAATGGTATATTCATGTTGAAGAAAATAATATAATATTTGTAGTGTAATGTAGCATGTCAAATTTTTATATATTGTTCGAATTACTAAATTACACTTTTAATACAATATCCTATAGAAATAAACGAAGATTAGTAAACACTGATATTCAGAAGCCCTAATAGTTCTAAGATGGTTTACCTTTGATTCCTCCTCAAGTCGTCTCTTGAGTTCCTCCACTTGTTGTGTAAAGCCTTGCTTTCCTCTTGAGAGCTGTGAAATTAGAGATTCCTTCTCTTCAACCTGATGGGTAAGCTCACCTAGAATGAATCAGAAATAAATGCAATTTTAAGTTTTTAGGTAAATTGATGTATGTAAATATAGGAATTCAATTTTTTTTATTGCATTTCCATTTTAGTTTTAGGCTTTATGAGATATACTTAGGCAACATGTGTATCTCATGTGTCCTTTGTAAAACATCCATAAGGAAATATGGATATAGTATGGCGTGCATTACTGTACCTACTCTTAGTGTAAGGTATAATTTTCTATATTTCTCCTTTTATTATTGTAGGGCTTTTTCCATGAACTTGGAGAATATTGCCAAATTCCCTATTTTGGCTCTAATTATGCAGTTTGGTTTGCAATATGGAACAATTCGGTATTAATTGAATTAACTCATTTGGATTTGGTTTGCTTCAAAATCTTTCAATGTCCTTCCATTTATTGTTCTACATACCATTCTCAGTTTGAAACCGAGCCCTTTGGGCAGTGAGGTCGTTGAGAAGACGTTGATGTTCATCATCCTTTGCCTTCACTTCACTGAGTTGGTCTTCAAGCACACGGTTCACTTTTTCAAGGTTGGCCTAGAAGGATAATTAGTAATATTATAGTCTGCACAATTATAGATCAGTAAGAATAAAAGTGTTCACAACTAACCACTTACTTACATTTGATTTGGAGACATTTTCAAGATTGCTGGCAAGATCATCAATCTCCATTTTCAACTCACTCTTCTTTCTCTAGCTTCTGCTTAACACGTTGTAGGTTATCAATTTGTTCCCCAAGTTCAGCAACACTGTCGGCATGCTTCTTGCGCAGGGCAGAGGAAGTAGCTTCATTTTGAAGGGTAGCTTACTCCAAGTCATGTCTAAGCTTCTGGAACTCAGCTTCACGCTTCTTGTTCAGCTCAATTTGAGCAGAGGTAGCACCTCTGGCCTCTTCAAGCCTCTCACTGGTCTCTTCAAGTTCTCTGGAGAGATCAGCCCTCCGTTTCTCAACCTTGGCCCGAGCTGCACGTTCTTCCTTAATTTCCTCCTCAAGTTCTTCAATACGAGCCGAGAACACCAGAATTAAATGTTGTCGTAAAGTTCAATGTAATTTACTTGCACAAACATACCTGAAGTTCCTTGATCTTCTTTTGCAACTGAGATCCCAGTGACTGCTCATCTTCTATCTTTGATTGAAGTTGGTTTATTTCAAAGTCCTTCCTGTGTGTTTACAATAGAAAATGAAATGACTTTAGTCAAACAGCTCTCGACAAATATGTCTTGAAACAAAAGAAACACAATTATTAATGAAAAAGACGAACTTCTTGAGTTTTTCCTCAGTTTGCTGCTTGTCATTTTCAAGATCCATGACAGTTTCCTGGGACAGCTTTAGATCACCCTCAAGCTTTCTCTTTGCTCTTTCCAGATCAAGACGGAGTTTCTTTTCTTGTTCTAGT